TAGTGCCTCCTGTATTCTATGAGCAGACTAATCTTCAAAGGCAATTTTGATCCTGTCTTCCCCCACCCATGAACCCATGATAACTCCCTTTGCTTGTTGCATCAAATTTAGAATTCATAGTCGAATTCAAAGCTTCAAACGAGCTCCAGACTTCCTCCTTTTATTTTATTTTTTAAGCATCATCTCAGGATATGCCCATTGGTTTTAAAGAGAAGGAGGGGGAGGGAGGGAGAACAAGAACATCAATAGATTGCCTTCTGTATGTCCCCGGACCGGGAATGGAACCTATGGCCTTTCGGTATATGGGACGGTGCTCCAACCAACTGGCCAGGCCAACCTTTCTCCTTTTAAATATATGCTTTTTTTTTTTAAATTGATTTCAGAGAGAGAAGGGAAAGGTAGAGAGGGAGAGGAATGATCGGCTGCCTCCTGCACATCCCCTACTGGGGATTGAGCCCGCAACCCAGGCATGTGCCTTAACCGAGAATCAAATCATGATCTCCTGGTTCATGGGTTGACGTTCAACCACTGAGCCACACCGGTCTGGCCAACCTTTCTCCTTTTAAATCCAAGCCAAAGAATACATTTTAGTCATGTTGATGTCTTCAAGACCTAACCTTATCACCCTCAGTGAGCACCTCTCTCCAGTCCGGGATGTAGTAGGAAAAGCTGAATAACCTAAATGCACCCAGTCTCGCCAGATAATCACCAAGAAATTTTCCTAATTCAATATTCAGTGACCTTCTGCCTGTATTCATTTCTAACAAGGAGTGTTCTTTAATTGTCTCATGCTTCTATGCCCTCTCCAAGTGCCCTAGGACCCGAGGATCAGGGACCAAGTCTGTAGATCTTGTAGGTCAAATCCAGGGCTGGGTACGTAACTGTGCTGTGGTCGAAAGCAGTAGATTTCGAGTCAGACTGATCTGGCTTTGAGTGGCAGTGCTCTCACTTACTGGTTTATGACCTTGGGAAAGTTACCTGACCTTTCTGAGCCTTCTTTCTTATTTGGAGGCTTCTGCATTGGTTTCCTCCTGTGCCAAGAGGGCGGTGACATGAAGGGCAGTGTCTTAGTAGATGTCCCATTGGGAACTTTTGGACAAGCAACTGTAGTGGCCCCGTGAGTTACTATTGTCTACCTTCTGAATTTAAAAACTGGTTGGTAGAATTGGAAGTAGGAGGAGAGAAAAAATTCTGGCAGAAATGAGCTTGGGAAGGCATGTTGTTCTGGAGAAATGAGCCTGAAACTTAGAGAAAAATGACCCATTCTGTAGAAAATTCTTATACGCCACGTGTGCTCTTGGCTCTAGATTTGATTTTTCTAATGAACCATATCTGACAGACAGATAGTCCTAAGGTGTTCAGTGATGGTATTTAGCCTTCAAAAATCAATCTCATTAAAAAAATAGTGAGCTATCCCCAAAAGTACATTTGCTATTTGGATAGTGACTTGCACTCCTACGTTTTTTCAGTAATCAGATTGTGTGAGTGATGATTGGAATCCTCACCTTCATCCGCACCACTTTGTGTGCTTGGGAACCTTAGACACGAAGAGTTGGTTTTGATACGTGAGAGTCACATCTCAAGTCTTTGTTAGGAATTTTAGAGTCAGATAGGTCTAGTCCAAATCCCAACTCTCCTTGAGGGCAGAAAACTTCACACTAGGCAAGTTACCATACCTCCCTGAGCCTGATTTCTCAACCATGAAGGACATAATTTTTGTTGCAGCTCAAGCTCAGTGCCTGCTTCCTAGTGGGCAATCAATGACTTTTGGTTTCCTCTCCCAAGAGTGCCAAACTTGCATTCCAGGCACTGTTTATTTATCTCGTCTGTCTTATTACAATATTTAAGTGTCTGGGAATTATAATGCATAAGGAATACATGAGATATTTTTAAACACAGTGTCTTATACTCAGAATTATCACAAAGCCAGTCAAAAAGAAAAATAATATCCAGATTTTTCCCTTTTTTTTTAAGATTAAAGCCTTCATTTTAGAGATATTGGATTTAATGTGACAGTTTTAGAGGGACAAACAGTTTGTAACTTGAGAGTACATCGCAGCTGAGTGGCCAGAGGTCAGTCTCCTTTGTAAAATAAATTTTGAAGCACATGGATGAAAAAGGATGTTATATTAGCTAGTACATTTGCTATAATCATAAAAACCAAAATATGGCTTTCTTCCATTTTATTAGTACTTATAAAATAAAAACAATTTATGAATATATGTCCCTTTTCAAGATAGAGAAACTACAGTCTTTGCCAAAAATACACACCCATAATTATTGCAATACCAAATTGCTCACATTTAGCAAGTCACTTGGTTTTAGGGTAGCATAGATATTTAAGTTCGCATAAGTGTAAGAGACAAGATTCTCAGTAATGTCCAGGTTACAGTAACTCTTCACCTACTTCTCAGTCATATACTTATTTCTAAATCCCACCTTTATCCCACTTACACATCTGTCTGTATCTGAGGAAGCATGTCTGCCAGTACAGGAAGGGAGCAAAGCTTTCTGTAATAAATGGCATCGTCTGCCGTGGGGGAAGTCATTGCCAATGCATGCACTCACTCACACAACTCATGCACTCACACAACTCACTCGTTCGTGCAACTCACTCATGCATTTCACACACCTCACTCATCCATGCAACTCACACATCTCACCTACTCACACAACTTACTCACACATCTCATGCAACTCATTCACTCTGTATTAGCTAGTACTATGGGTTGCAGCTGACAGATCCTTATCTGAAATTAGGGGAATCCATTGCAAGGGACATCTCTCAGAATAGTTGTGCCCCTGAATGGGTTCGGAGCAGTTGGGCTTCAGGAACAACCGGAACTATTGACTGGAATGTACTTCTCCTGTGCACATCTGATTCGCCCCTCTCCTTTTCTTGTAGACTGGCCACTTCGTCCTTTTGGTCCATGTGGCAAAAGGTCCCTAGTCCAAAAGTTTGGAAAGAGACACAGCGATAGGTAACTCGTATCAGATACCCATCCTCTACCAGTCAGTTATGCCCAGGAGGGCATGATCATTTAAAGACTTGGTGGCTCCTTCAAGAATTATATAGATGAAGGGGATGAGGAGAGGAGCACGGAAGGGGAATGCTGAGCACAGAGTTCCAGAGATGCCCACACACCCATCCTGCCGTCCCAGGGAATACACACACAAAAAACAACACTCCTGAACTGAGAGGTTGCTTGCAGCCAAGTGATGAGAGACAGATGTGCAATTAAATAAGTGGAATAGAGTGATGTTGGCTTTGTAATAATGCATGCAATAATGAGTGTAAAGAATGGTGTCATATTGGAAGTAAAGAATCGGTGATCAGTTGGGTTAGCTCTGACACACCTAGCTTCTGCCAGCAGTGATGGCTACATAGCTGGGCACATGGCCGGCTTCCTGAAAATACTTGAGCCAATTGAATTAGGTATTCTGGAGACTCGGGCTCGCCTTGGCGTTTTCTGAGTATAAGCGTCATGTGCTTTTTCATTAAGAGGCCTCTTAATCAGAATACCTTTTTGAATTATTCATTGAGTTCTTTTACAAGGGGAGAATTAAGGACATCATCAGGATTTTTTCATTTCAGCTAATTGTGTTGTGTTTTCGAGAATTCAAATGACCTGAATATTAGTTTCCTTTGCTAGCTCTCTAAACTGGTATTAAAAGACCTCCAGTAAGACTTGTTATACAATTCAGCTAGCCTGGCACTGAACTGCTTGTTAGTCACAAATTCCTGGCTTGTAAGATGAAGACATACCCTTGTTCCTTGTCATGGGTCCCGCGAGCCTTTGCCATTGTCCCTGTCCGTTGCTATTGTAGTGACCTGCACTAAGTCCACAAATGGTCTCATGGTTAGCGTCCTCCAATTTGCTCTTTTTCAGGCAGAGCATACTGAACCCTTTTCCATCTTCTATTATATTGGGTCGACTTTCTGTCTTATTCCACAAATCTGCACCCTTGAAGCTTGGGTACCTCAGGCTGAGCACAGTTTGCTTCAGTCTCACCATCTTGGCTTTGTTTCTCACACTCATATTTTACCAAGGCTTTTATTGTCCTTCATCTGCTCTCTCTACCTTTGCTTGTCTTTACCTTCGGTTTAAATTAAGCTTCTTATTTTGAGATCATTGTAATTTCACATGCAGCTATAAGTACAGACAGTCCTTGGGTTATGTCGGACTCAAAGTACATCGTTTCATGGTTACGTCGCCATCTCTCATTTATTTATTAAAAAAAAAAGTTCTGTCATTTCAACGTATGTACTTATGTGCTTTATGTTTTTTATTATTTATTTACCACAAGTAAAGGTCAGGAATTGTTATCTTGTAAATTTTTTTTACTGTTTCCCTTCATTACTGCTGTGTATGTGCTTCATATGAGTGACGTAGGTGCTTATGTAGGTAGGTTCAGACTTAGGGTGAAAACCGCGTTACGTCGCGCCATAGGAGTGGATCTCTGTCGTAACCCAAGGACCTACTGTATTGATATTCTCTACCAAGTCCCCTCAGTGGTAACATCATCTTACAATACTATTGTACAGAATCATATGGTACAGTTATTGACATTGACAATCAAAATACAGAACAACTGCCATAATATTTTGACATTTACGCTTCTTCTCATTATTCTTTTCCTTATTCACCTCTTAGACTCTTCTCCCCCTTCTCAGTTATATATTCATAGTCCCAGGTATTTAACTGAGTCCAGAATCCTAAAGATTTATCTTCTCTTTGATAGGTTGGCTAAATTCTCATGTTGTCAGAGTTTCTAGGGATAGCAACTCCCATGTTTTTCTTTAAATCACTTCCCTAGAATAAATATAATTTAGATGGCTTAAAGTGGCCTTAAAATGCATGTGAGAACCTGATCTGCTGTGGGTTCTGCTCGCCTTAATTTCAGGCAAGTCACATTAGGGTGAAGAATGTGTGGGGGCGGGTACGGTACTAATTCTTGGAGACCTATGAGCCCTGATCAAAGGCACTTTCCCCCCAAAGGACAGTTCTGCACGGAGGATGTGGACGAGTGCCTGCTGCAGCCCAACGCCTGTCAGAACGGAGGCACCTGTACCAACCGCAACGGAGGCTACGGCTGCGTGTGTGTCAATGGCTGGAGTGGAGACGACTGCAGTGAGAACATCGACGACTGTGCCTTCGCCTCCTGCACGCCGGGCTCCACCTGCATTGACCGCGTGGCCTCCTTCTCGTGCATGTGCCCCGAGGGAAAGACAGGTGAGGCCAGCAGAACGACAGAGCTGGACACTAGGGAAGGGGCAGTGAGCAGTCAGGATTTCTGCCTTCTTCTCTTTCATGTCGGTAGCTGTGTCCTTTTCATTACCAATCGGTAGGTACATATCACTTAAGATTGTTCTGGAAGTCTAATCGGTAGCGAAAGTGCTATGGAACTAGTCTTTTTCCTGATCGCTTTTGGCTCTCCTCTCAACTCTATGTAACGCAGTCTTTCGTCCTAAAAAAATGAAAGTTAGTCACGATTGCCTTGGGAGCATCTGCTGACCTCCTTATGACCTTAGGCTGAAAAGCACCTCAGAAATTAAGACAAAATGACTAATGGATGTAGAGACTTCATATTAAGAAGAAATAGCCCACTTACTCAGAAGGAGTTGGCAGGACAGAAGCATGTTAAGTGTGTTCCAGCTCCCAGCGTCTATAGAAATATTGCTCTCGGGGTGGGTTTTTACTGATTCAGAGTTAACAGTGCTTCAGAGTTAACAGTGCTCTAGCTCCTCAGTTTCACAGCTAAGGAAGGGAGGAAGTTGTGGAGAAAGATAGCTTAGGTGCGGGAACTTGGGGCCCAGCAGTTCTGAAATGTCCTCATATCTATGCCTTCTGAGGAGCCCCACCTCCAGCCTTGCAGCAGGAGCCTTAGCTGCCTGTTCTTAACCTAGTTGCAGAGTGGAAGATCCAGTTGCCGCGTGAACCATGCAGAACATGGGGCCAGCTAATATCGCCTCAGTCCTGAGGGCACTTGAGCCAGGAATGCTGACACTATTAAAGGGCTGCCCGAGCATAGGCTGATGCTGTTGCACTGGTTTTTTTTCTTCTGAGGCTAGTGAAATGCTGACACCTCTATGATCACCGGGTGGCATGATTTGGGGAAAGTAGGTTAGCAAATAAAATAGAGATGCAGGCAGCAGTGTGGACATACAATAGAAAATGACTTATTGTCTATCTGAAATTACTGTTGAACTGCATATCCTCTGTTTTTGCTGCTCAGTCAGAGGGCTGTAGGAAGGTTATTGCCCTCTGCCTGTCTCTGTCGTCTGTCCATCTCACTTATGGCCCTTGAGGAGCCGTCTAGCCGAGGGTGAGGGGGAGGCCACCAGGGTTGTCTGCAGAAGCTCCTGACTTGCAGCATCTTCCTGGGGGAGGATCAGGAGAAAGGAAAGTTCTCAATCTCCATGGTGGATTTTGATGAGACAGTAGAAGGCTTTCCCTCCTCCACGAAAGAGACAACTCTTCCTCAACTGGGGTCATTTTCTCTTTGTTCTTGTGACAGGACTCTTGTGTCATCTGGATGATGCATGCATCAGCAATCCGTGCCACAAGGGGGCACTGTGTGACACCAACCCCCTGAACGGGCAGTATATCTGCACCTGCCCACAAGGCTACAAAGGGGCTGACTGCACAGAAGACGTGGATGAGTGCACCATGGGTGAGTTCCCCAAACCTCTCCTCTTCCTCCCGTGTCTTCGAGCTCAGCAAGCATTTCAACTGAGGCACATTTTACCCCAGATCTCCTGTTACTTGCCCATTGTTTACAACCATCCTTTCAATGTAATCATATATTCTAGTCTGGGAATTGACATATACAGGTGGTCTGTACTTGATTCTTAATATAAAGCCCGACCTTAGAGACAGTTTGGGCAAAAGGGCAGCCAGAGACACATGACAGTGAGGTTGCCTAGTCTAATTAATTAATTTGTTCACAAGAAAATGGGAAATTGAGAATCAGACTACGAAATGCCTGGCCCTAACGCTTGTAACAAGCAGACCACGTCTGTAGTCCACACATGTGGAAACTCGGTCATGCTGTGATCCTGGTAACTGGTGCTTTTGTCTTTCAGCCAATAGCAATCCTTGTGAGCACGCAGGGAAATGTGTGAACACAGACGGCGCCTTCCACTGCGAGTGTCTGAAGGGCTACGCGGGGCCTCGCTGCGAGATGGACATCAACGAGTGCCATTCCGACCCCTGCCAGAACGACGCCACCTGTCTGGATAAGATCGGGGGCTTCACCTGCCTGTGCATGCCAGGTACTTGGGCCCATCCGAGTGCGGGGTCTCGGCTGGAGGCACGGAACGGCGCTTCTCTGAGGTGGAGCACTCAGCACAGTGTGGCCATTCCGTGAGCCCCGTCAGCATCTCCTTCCCAGTAGTGATGGGGCTCCCGGCCAAGGGGCCCTTAGAGTGAGGCAGTGCTAGACTTCTTAGAACTGGGAAGGCCCAGGTAACCATGCCCATCATGTCAAAACCCAGGTTCGTGCAAGAGAAAATTTCAGAAAGGAGTGTTTTTATGCCAAGATTATTTAATACAGTATTTACCATAAGTGTCCTTTAAGTAGCAAGCCTTCCTGATTCCCTTATGTGTTACAAATACCATGCCTTCCCACTTGCAGAAATTAACTTTACCCGTAATTCTGTAGGAACCTGCCATGGCCATGTCCCATGATTCATGAGTTGTCCCCTGGAGCTCTTACGCAGGGACCGTTTCTGAGTTGGCAGAGAGCACAGCCAGTGCCGCTCACAGTGGAGGCTGCAGTGCTGCTGCCCATCACGGTGCTGGCGCTCTAGCCTGGGAGCCTCCTGACCTTGCCTTGCACCCTGAGGGCAGCAGCATCTCTGACTCAGCTGGTCTTTAGGAACAAGCAGTGGGGATCCCTCGGGCCTGGTGCTGCCCTGAAAGCAAAGCCTGGACTGGTCAGAGAACGTGGCCCAGTCTGTTGGCACGTGAAGTGTGACCAGGGTCTTGGAGGTACCCTCATCCCCTTCATCACAGTGACCCGGATGTCCCAGAGGACACCCCTGTGTGATCTAACTGTCACTCACGGCATAGTCCCCCGGTCTTCTGCAGAAATGTCTCTGCTCATGGAGGATGTAGGCATCTTTGTAAGTTTGTGCTTTCTTGGCTAGAATACACCTTTCTCTCTTTCTAAGCCACTCGTGTGGTTCGTTTCCTTCAGGTTTCAAAGGTGTGCATTGTGAGTTGGAGATAAACGAATGTCAGAGCAACCCGTGTGTGAACAATGGGCAGTGTGTGGATAAAGTCAATCGCTTCCAGTGTCTGTGTCCCCCTGGTAAGTGCCCACCACCTGCCCTGCTATCTGCAGAAGCACAAAGCTGACTGACCCCGGGGAGGGGAGGAGCGAGAGCAGGCAGAGAATGTGTGTGGGCTGTGCATGCGGAAGTCATTAAAGTGAGCCCTTCAGGAAGGAGATGTGTGTACAGAGTCGGGGAGTCTGTCTCAGCTAGTGTGTCCTCCAAATCCTCTGTGGCCACAAGTCCAAGTCTGTTCGGAAAGGCCCATGACCTCTCTGTCTGTGTGTACATTTCAGAAAGTTCATGCCTCACAGAGGCCTTCGTTTCAGGCTCTTCGGGATTGTATTTTTCCCCCATGGGTTAGAGTCTCGAAGCCCGTTGGTGGGATTATTATTTTTAGACATTTCACCTCTGAGTCCAGAAACGGCCAACATAAGTCAGTTTTTCCAAAGAATGCTCCGCCTCTTCTCTCCCTCCCCGGAGCTATTGTTGAAGACACGCCAGGTTTTCTGCCACACACTGTGGTGTCTCTCATTTTCAGTCTCAGTCCCTCTGAGGCGAAGCTCACTTGTTGGAGTGCTTCCCTGTAACCGTTCAGGCCTGTTTTAACTAGAAGTGAAAAGTGTGGGGAAGAAACAGAGGTGGAGACACACACCGGTGCCTCTGTGCCCTGAGCTTCCCCCTGTTGTCCTGGTCACTTGCTGGGGAGAATAATTTCACTTTTGCTGACCCTTTGGCGTAAGGGAACTCAGCCCCACGCTGCTCGGGCATCATTGTCGGAGTGAAGGCGGACATGGGATAATCCTGTGACTTGTGTCCTCTTGTGCCCTTTGCAGGCTTCACCGGGCCCGTTTGCCAGATCGATATTGATGACTGTTCCAGCACTCCGTGTCTGAACGGCGCCAAGTGCATCGATCACCCCAACGGCTATGAGTGCCAGTGCGCCACGGGTGAGATTCTTCTCATTTTTCACCCCGCCCCCCAGGTCCACCTGAACAAACAGGAGACTGTCCTTGTCCCGCTGCCCTACCAGCCCCGGGCACTGGGGGGACTGTTCTGCGTTTAGAGAGGTCTTCTTCCAGCTTGGTTTTTGCCGCTCTCTCTCCACTATTCCCTTCTCCAACACCTGCCTCCTTGTCCACCACAATAGTGGCCTGGCCTGGACATGGCCATTTGGTGTCCATGTCTTTTTGGGACAGATTCTGACAGCGGTGAGTTTCCAGCTGGCTTGACTTATTCCTCTGGGGAAGGGAAACATTCCAGCTGAAAGCTCTTTTCACTGGGGCTCCTCAGCAGGAGGCTTGTTGCTGTGTTTCTTGAGGCAAGGGATTGAACAAAGGCCCAGAAATCTAAGGGCTGTTGTGTGCAAGTGCAGATGCTTCCTGCAAACAAGGCCGCACGCCCTAGGAGTCAGGTGGTCCTCAGACAGGTGCGAGAGCTCTGAGCCCTCTCTCCTGAATTCTGCTACTACAGTGAAAAAGAATCCGTTTGTAAATATTCTGCATGTCTGGTCGGTGGCCACAGTTCCCATGTGGGAGTGATCTGAATAAGCCAAACATCCCGTTACACATTTGCTTCAGCCCAGACCAACACTGTGGAAGTGGACTAGACATTATTAGGAAAGGGGACGTTCCAATTTCTTTTTTATCCCTCTGCTTAGGAGAGAAAGAAGTTAGGAATAGAATTAAGGACAATCTTCTAATTTTAGAAAATGGGTTCTTAAACAGTTTTAAACATTATGTGCATTTCTTTCTGATCACAGAAAAACAATGTCATGGAAACAAATGATTACTATTTCCGTAGTATTGGAGCATCACCACTTACTAGGCCTACTTAGACTAGGCCCTGTCAGGGAACCCTGTACCCACTTCTGTCTTCATGAACTGTTGTCTCTGGCTGGAGGAGTTCCGGGTTCTGTCCTCCTCTGGCAGCTTATGCTCATGGAGAGTGACCTTCAGGAGAGAGAGGTGAAACACCCTGACTCATGCTGAGAAGGGAGGAGAGGCTTACTGGAGTCCCCGAGAAGAGATTTAATGTCAAGTGAAGGAGTTTTCATTTGTCCCAGTTTCATTTAAATGCTTATAACTTGGTCATTCATTTTATTCAACAAATCTTCATGGAAAACTTACTATATATGCATAGTACGATGGGGGCAGTTGAGGAATAAAGAAAAGTTCTCTGTTCTGTCAAGTCAGAATTGGGAGCCCAGCCAGTGTGGCTCAGTGGTTGAGCATCGACCTATGAACCAAGAGGTCACGGTTCGATTCCCTTACAGGGCACATACCCGGGTTGCAGGTTCAGTCCCCAGTAGGGGGTGTGCAGTAGATGGCTGACCGATGTCTCTCTCTCATTGATGCTTCTATCTCTATATCCCTCTCCCTTCCTCAAAAAAAAAAATGGGGAAGATAAGGTCCGTGGAACCATGAATACAGTCCCTGTATATTGGGTTTGGGAAGAAAAGAATATAGAGGTAAATATACCCAGGAAAGGTATTGAGGCCCAGTACGGAGTGAAGCTGCAGTTGAAGCATCTCTGCCAGGACAGCTTTGATCCCTTAGGAAGAGGTATTTGAATTCTGCAGATTCAATCTGAAGAACTTTATTTTAAGCACAGCTCTCTGGGCCTGCCTTATGAATCAATGCCATTGGTCAGTGTCAAGCGCTCATTCCCGCAGGATGAATTCAGGCATGGGGGGTGTAGGGTACGGGGATGTGGCTCCATGTATGTTCAGGTGTGGAGTATCTGCCTTGGTTCTTAAGCCTCCTTGGTCACATTCCTTCCCAGGATTCACGGGCGTGTTGTGTGAGGAGAACATCGACAACTGTGACCCCGACCCCTGCCACCACGGCCAGTGTCAGGACGGGATTGATTCCTACACCTGCATCTGCAACCCCGGGTACATGGGCGCCATCTGCAGCGACCAGATAGACGAGTGTTACAGCAGCCCCTGCCTGAACGAGGGCCGCTGCATCGACCTGGTGAACGGCTACCAGTGCAACTGCCAGCCCGGCACGTCGGGTAAGCCCACTCCCTCCCTGTTTCCTTTGGAGCTGCTAACGTAAAAAAACATTCAAACCTGTGAAGCATTTTTGTGAGTGTATTTGAGTCACACTGTCAGCAATTGCCAGGATGCAGAATCTCAACGGATTGGGACAATGCTTGGAGAGTGGCAGTTTTTCACCTTGATTTATACATTACAAAGGAGGAGACGTAATTGGGTTACATGAAATCTATTGGTGATAGATTAGGGGGGGGGATAAGGCAAAGGGGGGCGGGCAAGCTCTGGGATTGGATAAAAAGTAAAATGATAGACACGTACTTCTTTTACTTAGGTGGGTGCAGGATAGTTAACAGTCAACAATTAACTCAGTAACAATGAGGGGATTTGTAGTCTCCGTAGAGCGGTGCCTGTGCTTTAAGGGGTCTGGAAAAAGGAAAAGTACTTTGACTTTCCAACAATATGTAATGCAAAAAGGCAGTAGGTTCAGTTAAGATAAAGATTTACCCTTGTCAGGGAAGCTACCGGCCTAGGATGCGACTACCCACGATAACTGCTTTTAGTTAAAGTTTTAATTTCAGACCCTCCTTTGTGACTACTTTAGGCCTTTGAGTTTGCAAGACCACCATGCAGGCCTTCCCTGAGCTTGTCAGGTTAGCACAGGGGTGGGCAAACTTTTTGACTCGAGGGCCACAATGGGTTCTTAAACTGGACGGGAGGGCCGGAACAAAAGCATGGATGGAGTGTTTGTGTGAACTAATATAAATTCAAAGTAAACATCATTATATAAAAGGGTACGGTCTTTTTTTTTTTTTTTTTTAGTTTTATTCATTTCAAACGGGCCGGATCTGGCCCGCGGGCCGTAGTTTGCCCACGGCTGGGTTAGCATGTGGCCCCTTTTTCATCCAGAGTGTTCACTGCTTCCCAAACACGATTTACACAGATGTCTCAGACTTCCTGGGCAGACGCTTACATACCTAAAACACAGTCCTTTTTCCTGAGAAGCTAGAAACATCTCTGAGGGAGCTGGCTCCAGCCAGGGAAGAAATGAGAGACAATCGTTTCTCAAAGCTGGTGATTTTAGGCATGTGTTTCCCTAAAAGAGGCATACCGCTTCAAAACCCTGCAGTTATTCTTTAAAATGGAAAACCTTGCTTTTGTGGCTTGGTTTTATTGTCATCTTTTTCTGTAACCTCCACTGCAGGCTAATAAAGTTGTGCCCCCCTCGAATCCCCTTTTTCCATCCCCACCCCCTCCTGTCTTTCCAATCGTTTTCTCGATTTCAGAGTCCAGTATCTTTAATGTGACACCTTTCTTCTGCCACTTGTCGCTGGTGGGCTTTGGGCAGTTGTGGGGATTGGGAGAGGGAAGAGAGACTTTGCAGCTCCCTGTCATTGAAAATTAGAATGCGGGGCCACCATTCCTCATCCGGGCTCCTCACTTCCTGACTACAGCTCATTCCTGCTGGCTGGGAGGGCAGGCTGCTCCTTGCTGGGGGTGTTGAATTACTTGCTCAGGGAGCAGCATTTCACAGGTTTCACTGGATTCTGTTTTACTTATTGGAGGAATCATTATGGTCACAACTGTGGTTAATGGACAGAGAAGCACTGTGTCTCAGATCAAAGGAAAGTGTACCAGTGGAAGATTAACCAGTGGGTGCCTTCGTCAGAGCGGCCCTGCCAGTACAGCGCACTGATTTATTGAGAACTCCCTCTCCCTGTAAGGACAATGGCCTAGGTGGGGGCAAAGGTGGGGGAGCTGCCCTCATTTTACTTTGTGATTTCCAAACGCATTCCTTCAAACTTGTCAAGGGCCCTGGGCTTCTTCCAGGACCCGCACATGCCAAGTTTGAAAACAAAGTCCTTTTTGAGTTGCTCGAGCATATGAAAAACATCCCCTGCCTCACAGTGGCAAATGCCTCCCCTCCCCACGTTTAGATAACTCCCCAGCAGGGCTGAATGGATCTTTGTGAAACCCTCCAAAAGCAATTTGCTTCCGGGCTGGTCCCCAGACATGAGACATTGCAGTAGGAAAAGGAATTTGAGAGACTTACCAGCAACTGAATGGATGCCTGTAGGATGGCGGGGCTGCTCTGGGCCCCATTGTAACAAGCTCACTGGAAACCCCTGGAAACCGGGGGCTGGTGGGGGAGCAGCACTTGGTTTTCTCTGTGATGGTTATCACTGTGGCAGGATGTATCAGGTGTGTTCCCTGGGGGGACAGCGAAGGCAAGGTGTGAGGAGCTGTCAGTGAGAAAGGCAGGAAGTAGCTGTGAGGGGTGTGCAGGCAGCAGAGAGAGGGAAGGCCCAGAATCTCTCAGAAAGCTGCCAGACCTGTTCCTGTGGCATCAGGAGCCTTAAAGCAGAGAGACCCAGGCCACATAAAGGCATCTTGTAATGGGCGGAGAAAGGCCTGCATGGAGGGCCCCGGGGGAAAGGATCCATTCAAATAGTCATTATGAATAGACTCTGGAGTTCTAGATTAAGAATCTACGACCCATTCAGAATGCGGTGCTAGATGGCGGGCTGGGGTCTGGATGAGTGTGTAGACAGAGGGAAACTTTACAACTTGCTGCTTATAATGTGGCTTCTCGCTCGCTGGGCACTGAAAGTGGGGTGCACTACCTGGAATCGCTTCTCTCACCTGTGCTCTTATGATGGGACACTGTTCTAAGTAAGTTATTTTTGGTTTGAAGTCACAGAATCCAATTTGACTAGCTTAAAGAATCGGTAACAGGCAAGCAACCAATAATAAAACAGCAGAAAGAATTTAGTGAGAGCACAAAAAAGCATCTCGTGGATTTCAGGTGAGTTTGGAGCAATAGGCTTTGCAGAGATTAGCAGGAAGCAGGGCCATTTGCAGACCAGAGCTCACACAGTCATACTCCTGCATTCCAATGACAAAGTCTCACTGGCCCAGTGGGTGGCTGTCTCTTCCTGCTCAAGTAAATTTTTGATGTAATTATTGTTAATAAATATTAATGCAAAGTGAGTCAAAATTATGGCATTTTGTCATGGAAGTTTCATTTCTTAATTTATAATCCTTATTATCAGGTTTTACTTTTTAGACTTTTTAAACTACTGAAGTATTCTATGATACCCAAAAAAGCATCACTAAATTCATGTTAATTATATCGTGAAATAAGAGTATTTTTACTGAATAATGCTAACAATAATGATTGGTATATCTCTATGTTTAGTTACCCATGTCTTCAGTTAAAGCTTTTCTAACACAGCCAAACTCCATAGTTTGTTCTGGGAATAGACCAGAAGGAAGACAGCAGACTCCAGGAGGAAGTTTTCAGACTCTTTAAAGTTTATCCTGAGTTGTAACCAGAATAGTGACTATCAGTTTAAAGCTTATAGTGGTTCCAAAATTCTAATTTTCATGTGAAAGCTTATATTTTATCTTTGGAACACAATACTATCAGTTTTTGCTTTTTTTGAAATGACAGGTTTACTCTTTGCAGTTAATATGAACTAAATAGTTCGGTGTGAATAGCTCTGGTTTGTCTTGTCAGTTGTTCTTTTGGTGAAAATGGGATTCCATGAAAAAAAACAACTGCTTCCGTTCAAAGCTGAAATCATCACACAATTGCTTTTCATGGAGGCACCTCTGCACGTTGGCATGTCACAGAGCAGCCTCGTGTGCACTTCCCAGGTCATCACACAGAACAGCGGACATATAAACAGTCAAGGGTCAAGATGTAATAAAAGGATAAAGTTAATCATCTTACTTCACCAACGTCATTCTTAAGGGAGCCTGTCTTTTTCTCTGGTTTTTGCTGCGAGTGCACGGATGTGATGGATACAGTGCCCACCGCTGCAGTGTGGCACCGCTGCTCTGATTCCCGCCATGGCTTCTGCCCGTTTGTGCCAATGCCAACACAGTGAAAAAGGCACACGGGCTCAGTGCGATGAATGAGATCGCCTTGCCCCCATGATCCCTCCGGCAGCATTGCTGCTTTCCCCAGGGCTGGCTGGATACTCCAGCTTTCTCAACCAGTTAACTACCACGCGTCCAAAACGGAAACCATCTATACGTCTATAGACGCTTATGGCGTACAAAGGGTTAACACTTAGGGTCCCAAGCAGACATCCTTGATATGTTGGTGGAAATATTGCATGGTTCCTCTTTGCTCTTATCCTTGCAGGTGTTAATTGTGAAATCAATTTTGATGACTGTGCAAGTAACCCGTGTGTCCATGGCGTCTGTATGGATGGAGTTAATCGTTACAGTTGTGTCTGCTCACCAGGATTCACAGGTAACGCCCCTTGGTGTTGGGGGGTCCTACTTTCAGCCCCATTGCTTTGGGAAAAGGGCATCTAAAGGAACATTACTTTTTAAATGTTTTCTATTTGTTTGTCTCTGGGAAGTTTCGACTTTTGTTTCTGTGCTTCTCTGGCCCTGTTTTCTACTTACAGGCCTTCCCTGAACTGTAACATGAAACTTTTCATTAGTTAGGGGTTTTAGACCATGTGTTTATAGCCACCTGAAAAGAACTTTCAGTTATACCAAGAATTTATCACTCACTGTGCTTGAGTTATATTTTTCTGTAATGGCATAACCAACGTAAAATTCTTTGAAAACATTAGAAGCTTTTTTCTGAGTACTGCTTCTAATGGGAGCTTGTTGGATGAAGCCAGATCCAACCTCATATGGCTAGCACAATGGAGATTTTTTTTTTCTCCCCAAGAGGAACGAAGTAAATGCCTAAAATAAAGTTGGCTAGAATCCTTCCTAAATTATAAGCAGCTAGAGCATTTAACACATGTACACATGTGTGCACACAAGTTTTCCCTTTTTTCTCGTTTGTTAATCACATTACCTTTATCATTTACCCTCCTGAACAAAAGTGCTAGAGGCTACTGAGGAATCCCGAGGCCCCTCACACACCCGAGGGCTTGTGCTCTGCCAATCCTATTCTTTCTAGACAGTGCCATACACAAGCAGACGTAAGATGTGGCCATACAATAAGTACCATGTGGTCATTTGCAACCAATGTGAGAAACTTCCCCTGGAGCTTTCCACTATGATGTCAGAGGCAATCGGAGCCAAGCGCTTGGGGGGGACTCGCATTCCTCTGCATCCCACATTCCTCTGCATCCCACAGTCCTTTTCTCCTGCTGTGCCTGTGTGGATGCTGGGAGGAATGGTGGTGCCCCAGGGTCACTGGAGCCCGTGTTCAGTGGGTGATCGCTCCGAAGACAGGTGTGATGGAAGCTCTCATAGTTAGTGCCCAGCACTGATGGTGGGAGCCAGATGTGCTTGCTTCTCTGTCCTGAAACTTGTTACCCCAAGACTAAGTGGCAGCCAACAGACACACAAAAATTCCTGCCAGTTGGGGTATGTGGTGCATTTTTGTTAAATGAGTAATAAGAAGAGAATGGTTACCATTTATTAAAGACTTACTTTGAGCCAGGCATTAAATTAAGTGCCTAACCTCATGTAATTGCCACTGCTGCTATCATCCCTACAGTATTGATGAGAGACCCAGAGCTTGCAGCCGGGTCTTCACCCCAGGGGTCCCACTCCAGAGCCCGCTATCGCCTAAGTGGGTGCCTGTTGTGGTTTCTTTTTAGGTATATAAGCCTTAGACTAGATTTCTGCTTTTTCTTTTTCTGGGAATGTCAGTGAATCATAGTCTCCCTTTTTAACATTCAGCAAACCAGGAAGGTCAAGGAGGGAGGACATAGGCTAAAAATATTCTAAAATAAACTTAAGGTGTAGCATGAGACCACATAAGCAAGAAATGGAATGTTTTGATTCCTGGGTGGTACCCTGTTCTTGGAACTGTTTTCTAGTTTGTTTGGGGTTTTTTTTTGGGGGGGGGCGGGTGAAGAAGTAGGGGGGCTTGAATCAGCTGCTGAAAATAGAATAAACTGTGGTTCATACCCAGAGCTGTGAATGTGAGTTGCTTTATTCTTTCCGTTGTTTTATTTTAATGCTACTTTTTAAACAGATTTAAGAGTGTTTTTTTAAATTAAATTTATTGGGGTGACATTGATTAATAAATCTATATAGGTTTCAAGTGTACATTTCTGTAACACATCACCTGTGTATTACGTGGTGTGTTTACCACCCACAGTCAGAGCTCCTTCTGTCATCATATATTTGACCCCTTTACCTCCCCCCATGCCCCTTTCCCTCTGGTAACCACCATACTGTTGGTGTCTATGAGTTTCTGTTTGTTTGTCTGTCTTGTTTATTTGTTGCTTCCAGTTTTATATCCCACATAAGTGTCTATCAATGTTTGAAGGATAAAGGAGATGTGAGATATATATATATATATATATATATATATATATATATATATACATACATATATAAATAAATAATGGAATGTTACTATCTGTGAGAAAGAAGGAAATGCTACTTGTGTAAAAATATGGACAGACCTTTAAGGCCTTCTAAGTGAGATAAGTCAGACAGAGAAAGACAAGTACTAGATTATATCACTTATGTGCAGATTATGGAAAAGAGCAGAATGGTGGTTACCAGGGGCTGGGAGAGGGGTTGGGGGAATTGGAAAGATGCTGTTTAAGGATGCGAACCTGCAGCTAGTAGATGATGAGTTCTGGAGGTCTGATGCATAGTGAAGTGATGATAGCCAACAACACTATTATAAACATAAAGTCGGTAGGAGAATCAATCATAATTATTCTCACCACAAAAAAGAAATATTTATGTGACACGATAGAGGTGTTAGCTAACAATATGGTATACTCATATTGCAATATGTAAATGTAGCAAACCTTAAACGTACACAATGTTACATGTCAATTATATCTCAATAAAAAAATTAACAAAACAAAAAAGTAGCTGGGGAAGTTTTATCATGTCCATTTAACAAGTGAGGCAGCTGAGAGAGAGAGCTCAAGTCCATTTTATCAGCGAGGGAATCACACAGCCAGGACAGTGAGTCCCTGGAGGCAGGGACCTTTCTAATCACCTTTGTGGCCAGTGTCTAAAACAATGGCTGGCACCGAGGAAACACTCAGTAAATGACTATAACTCAAATATGGGACCTCTGACATCCAACCCCAGACCCCTGAGTCCGAGCTGTCCCACGATTTCATTCATTAAACACCGGGTGAGAAACCTTGGTTCACTTCTCACCCAGTAGTTACTGGGCCCAGGAAGGTCCGTAGGTTTGTGCTGGGCATTTCTGAGGCTGATAGAAACTCCTGAAGGGTAGGATCTGGCTGTCAGGTCAGGTAGTAGACGGCACAAGGATGCTCTCAACTCTCAGCTAAAGGTGGCTTGAAAATCGATTTTGGAGAATTTTAAAAGCAAATGAAGAAAGCCTGGGAGGAGTGGCCTCTGAGAAGATGCTTCCAAAAAAGGACAGAAAACGAAGGCTTTTCCTCTCACTCTCCCTGCGTGGCAGGCTGAGGATAGCTCACATCTCAGTTCCATTGGCACACGAGGTTGAGGCGAAGGAAGTCGTATTTTAAAATAAGTTATTAATACAACACTTAAGAGGAAAGCAGCCGCCACCACCAGATTATGGGTCTTTACCACAGGAACCACCAATCATGGTTTAGAGAGCAATGAAGGGTGAAAAAATGTTAATACCCATCCTTTAAAGGGGTGTGTGTCTGTTTCATTTGGAATTTCCTGTTCTAAATGCAGGGTTACTCTTTCTCAAAGAAAAATGCATGGTGGTGTGCATGTTTTTCTGAGTCAGAACATTGTATTCTTTGAAATTTGTCCGTTTCTTCGTAAGTTTACATGTTGCCACTCATTTACAGAATGATGGGTTATTTTAAAGTTTTATAACATTTTGGAATATGTAGTTGAATCTCAATTATTCAGAATGTAACAAAGCAAAACTCATATTACTGGAAAACTCTGCTCAGCTTAAAACAATAAATGTTAAGGTTCCAGCAGGCTTCTTTTCAAAATGCAATCTCAGGTATGTTTTAGAGGACGAACCTACTCATTTCAGTTTCATATATTCTGAGCATTTACATGATGATGAACTTATAATTGTCTGCATCAGAGTTCCTCAGAATGTAGTGTTTGAACCACCTGCATAATTTAAAATGTGCTTTGCTGGACCCTACCCATCACAGTCCACAGGGATGGGGTCTAAGTCTCCTTTTAAAGTGGTACTTTAAGCAACTCTTTTAGCACATGTAAGTTTGAGAGCCACTGGTGTAGATGGAAAGACCCAAAATGGTTTTCTCAGCTATCAGAGGACAGTAAAATTATATTTAGAATATTCTTCTTCCTGAGACAGATAATGGATTAATACAACTCTACAAGTGAAAGCAAACTGGCTTTCCTTTTTCAACCACATTAATCATTACACTACTATTTCATTCACGAAGCATCCCAGTTCATTGAGATTTACCGTCTGTAGAACTGTAAGAGGTTGACTAACCGGAAAAATGAATTTTCGATAAGCCAGCTGAGAACAGTAGTAAGATGAGCTTCTTTGAAAGTACTCAGAGCAAGGTCAAGAACTTCGGTAACTTTGATGTTCTCTTTCTAAACCCTTGTGAAGCTGCCCCTTTTCCAAGATGGAGTGAAGAAGAAATGTATGTCAAAACATGACACCAGCATTTTGATAACTTTGCTTCATATCAGAAGACAATGCTGCTTGCTCCTCCCTCTCATGGCACTACGTGCTTTTGGGTGTCTCATTCCTTAAATAAGTTCCGTTGGGTGCCTGTGCAGATGAAGGTGTCAACACAGTATGTCTCCGTTCTGTGTCTATTCCCTAAATGTTTTGGATTTGACAAGAACTGCCCCCCTTCTCTACAGGGCAGAGATGTAACATTGACATTGATGAGTGTGCCTCCAATCCCTGTCGCAAGGGTGCAACATGCATCAACGATGTGAATGGTTTTCGCTGTATATGCCCCGAGGGGCCCCATCACCCCAGCTGCTTCTCGCAGGTGAACGAGTGCCTGAGCAATCCCTGCATCCACGGGAACTGTACCGGGGGCCTCAGCGGGTGAGTAGCTGCCATGTAGTCATCGTTTCTTGTTGACCTGTGTCAACTGACCTGCAGAAGTCAGTCAGGGACCTGAGCTGACTTTGAGATTTTGGTAGTCCGTATCGTAGTCTTCCAAATTGCCTCCTTGTCCTTCCCTCCTATGACTGAACAGGAGGAAACTAAGGAGGAATGTCTTCCTCGTGTGGGTAGGCAGCACGTGGCGGGAGTTCAGGGTTGTTTTATGAGTCTTTGGCAAGTGAAAGAATGAAGAGGGTGTTTAGAGGCAAATGGGAAATCAAGTCATTTCCAAGATGAATTTTCTCAGTATTCCTGCTTCAGAGTAGGGCAGCCTTCAAAGCATCCCAACCCATCACATTTTTCCTAAGAAGCTCCAGACATCTGGCCACCATCTCCTGATATGACATTCTAAGTCCTAATGACATTCAAATTGTGAACAATGTCCATGTACTTCAAATACCTTCATTTTGGACCTTTTTCTGCTCAGTACCCTGGGTGCTTTCTGTGGCAGGGTTTCTGGTCAGAACAAAACATATCTCAGAAGTCAGGCATTCTAGGAGATCTTCAGAGTGGCTCAGAGTCCCTGATACTAATCTACTTCCTGGGTGTCTGTTTTGCCTCAGAAACAAATGACCCTAAGGTTTGCTTTACTTTAGTTTTGCTTTTGTTTTTTTAAAATTTAAATTCTTTATTGTTTTAAAGTATTACGTAAGTCTCCCTTTCCCCCCACTGACCTCTCCCTGGCCACCCCCACCCCCTAGTTTTATATATAAGGAAAAAAAACTATGCAGATTTATCCATATTAATGTGTCTTTCAGATTGGTCCAATATGTTGTACCAACCATGCTCTTTACATATGAAAGCTCAGTGTAATTAATTAGTTTCTCTAGCATCTTTGTGAACCAGGGAAGCACCAGGAAGGAAGATCATTTAACTCCAGATGGGCCCTCCTGATCCACACTGTGTTCTTGGTGACCCACGTATAGGTCCCTAGAGAGTAGAATTGAGATTAACTTACCTTCATCTCCTCTTTCCCTCATTTCTTCACCATGTCCTGTATTCAACTCTGACTCAACTGTACCTTCATTCCCCATAGTAAAGAATTCTGTCTTCTTTCAGATACAAGTGCCTCTGTGATGCAGGCTGGGTTGGCATCAACTGTGAAGTGGACAAAAATGAATGCCTTTCCAATCCATGCCAGAATGGAGGAACCTGTGACAACCTGGTGAATGGATACAGGTGTACTTGCAAGAAGGGCTTTAAAGGTGACGGCAAAAGGGCATATTTCCATCTCCCTTCCCTGCCCTTTGGTTGTTGCGTATTGCTTGGCTCACTTCTTTCTTTCCTTTTTTCCTCTGTTCATTCACACAGCAAACATAATTTGAGCACCTAATATTTATAAGGCACTGGGCAGTAAAAACATAAATAGATATAGATTCTACTCTCAGCCTAGCAGAGAGGTGAGCTATTGAAGGTGAGCAGCCGGGACTTCACTTACACAGCTTTGGACAGGTGTTCTAACTGCAAGCTTCTTGATGCAGGGTTGATTCTATGATAATTCAAAAGAGAAATTGGTAGTAGAATGAAAATACTGTCTTGCTGTAATTCCTACAGCAGTAATATGGAAAGATTCATGTGTTCAAAACCTTCCAGCAAATTATTTCACACAGTGAGATACTCTTAGATACGTAGTTCCCCGTGGCCTTCTGGAAAAATACAGAATAAGGGGGGTATTGTGTAAAATAATTTTTGGGTTGTTACTGTTGTATTTCTGCCATCAGTTTTCTCTTGGAAACTCATGAGAGAGAAATCCATGGGTAAATCATTTATATTTGGACTGCTCTATTCACTTAGTCTTTGAGTTCCCCACTCAAAAGCAGTGCCAGGCCCTAGCTGGTTTGGCTCAGTGGATAGAGCGTTGGCCTGCAGACTGAAGGGTCCCAGGTTCAATGCTGGTCAAGGGCACATGCCTGAGTTGCCGGCTCGATCCCCAGTAGGGGGCGTGCAGGAGACAGCCAATCAATGATTCTCTCTCATCATTGATGTTTCTATCTCCCTCTCCCTTCCTCTCTGAAATCAATAAAAATATTTTTTTTTTAAAAAGCGGAGCCAGGCTACTGCGAATCAGCAGTATATTTCAGGGACATTTTATTTGATTAGTTGAAAACGTTCTGAAACCGTATTTTAGTTATTAATGTACTGATATATTACATTTGCGAAGAAGCGTATAGATTTAAAAGCACTTTTATGTCTTTAGCTCACTGAGACTTACTGATCAAACAAAATCAAAATGTACAGTCCATATTTGTATGACTATTGAATAGCCAGCCCTCTGCACTCCCAGATCATTTTTACAGTGCTCTAATTCCTCTATTTTAAGGCTTTATTGAAGGTGCCAAGGTGTGTAATAGCTGGGTACTTTCCTGTCCCCATAAGTGCCTCTTTTCTCTTTTTTAGAGTGGGAGTAGAATTCATATCTTGATCAGGAGGAGTCAGCTTTGTGACCTCAGGAAGTCTTACCACATCGATGGAAGGGGGGGCATAACTCGGAGGCTTTGATTAATGTATTCAAGAATGTCACCCCTCGATAACACATACCCCCTTGTTAAGCCCTGACCAGATACTTTGTGTAAAAAGAGCTTATATTTAGATTAAGCAGCAGATTTTTGCTCTTAATGAACTTCTTGGTTCATTACTGAGAAATTATTTGTTCCGTATTTGAGGGTGCATTAGACTTTCAGGATATCAGAACATATCTTAACTAAGCACTGTTTTTTACTTGCTCTATGTCAGGGACTTGTCACTGAAACCAATGAACAGATATTCCGGGGGCCTGAAGAAATGAATGCAGTTTCTGAGGTGTTTCATGTTTACCACTGAGAGGATCGCTTAGTAATTCAGATAATAGGAGGCTAACAGAAAGGTTCACGGTTTGGGTTTTTCCCCTTTTCTATCCACAGGCTATAACTGTCAGGTGAATATCAACGAATGTGCTTCAAATCCGTGCCTGAACCAAGGAACCTGCCTTGATGACATAAGTGGCTACACCTGCCGCTGCGTGCTACCCTACACAGGTGAGCCCTGAAAGTGCGGGGACATGGGGATGCTCGTCTCCCCTTGTCACTCCAAACCTCGGAGTCTCAGAGGTGGGATCTGTGGGACTGCTGCTCAGAGGACTCGCCCGTCGCATGTCCTGCCCTCACTCACTGGATCTGGAGCTCTGAGAAATCACTGTGACCTCCCTCGTGCAAGTGCTGGGAAATTCATTGCCTTCTTGGCTCTTTAGGGTTTGAAATTTTTTTCATCGTGTGTGGTTGGAACTGATGCAGAGCTGATGGTTTAGTCCATTATTGTGAATGGAGCAGTGTCTCCATGGACCATGCTCTTTGTCTTGGTTTCAATAACAAGGCTACCACTTATTGCTAATGTATTATGTGCCAGATACTTTATACACTTTGGATTATTTCTTCTAGTGCTCACAATAACCCTACAGGTAGAAGTTCCTGTCACCATTTATACATGAAGAAGCTGAGGCAAGAGAGGTTACTTGCTGAGGGTCACAGAGAGGGTGGTAGGTCTAGGATTTGTCCCCAACTCTCTAAACCCAGAGCTTGTCCTCTTAACTGCCATTCTTCTCCTCCCAGCCCGCACAGCTGCGTCTCATTCAGAGAGGTAACGCCCTGGATGGCGCTCACACACAGAAGACGTGCTGTGCCTCCGTTGTATGCCAGGTGGTCCTTGTTTCGGGTGGTATTTCAGGAGTGTGCTTGGACATGTCTGCTGTGTTCTCCTGCCTCATTACTGCCATCCTGTGATTGGTTGTATTTGTGTGGCTTGTTTACCTCCTCGTCATCCCATTTTCTTCATGTCTGGGAAACAAAACAAACATGGGGGATGGCGTTGCATGTTCTGCAGTGAGCAGCATGCGGGCGGGATGCCTTGGCCTTGGGCTGTGCACAGTAGCTGTGACTAGTGACTCTGAGCGGTGTAGAGCGGCAAGTGGCCTTGAGCATGACCCTGAGATCTGGAAGATTTGATGCTACTTGTTCCCTCTGCCCGGCTTTAGAAGACATGTTCATGTAGGGAAACAGCATGTAGCTAGCCTGGTGGGTAAAATCAGAGTTATCAGAGATCCCCAGCTCTCCCCAGACAAAGACCGTCTCCACCGTGTCATTTATTTCACAGCAACAGTGCAGACCACACTCATTGGCAGTGAGAAGATCATTTCACTCACAACCACAGACTCAATATTGACGGCTGTGGGGAGATGTAGGCAGACGTCACTCTATGCAACCACATCATAGACTTGCCTGGGTGTGGCTTGTGTGTACAGTTCATGTTGAAATTATTCACTCTGTCTTCTTGCTATGCAGATACTATAAGAATATTTGACTCTGTGCCAGCTGTCGGTTTTGCTTTAGATTAGGATGCCAATAAAAGAATCTCCTATGTGTGAACTTTGAGAAATTAATTATATTAGACTGGAAGCCTGTGCAGGTGAAATCTCAGTGCTGAGTGTGGCTAAGGCTTCTGCCTGGCATTGAGTTTGGCCCGCATGAAGGCCACTAAGCAACATTGTCTTCCCTGTGAGCCACTATTCTGACCAGACACACTAAAAAGCTGCTTGGGGACATTGGTGAAAATTTGTGGTAATGTTCTTTCTGAATACAAAATTTTAGGATAAAATTTTAAATCAAGTTAGTTGCAACTTGACTATAAAATCTACCTCATCTCCCTTTTAATAAGAGCATCCTTTTTGTGTCTGGAAGCTTGGATTCAGCATACTGAGGCAGAAAACATGGGTGGGCAGATACTGACGTCATGCTGTTGCTGTCGATATAAGGAGACATGTTGCTAGGCACTCAGGATCACTTCCCTGTTGCCTCCCTCCGGGGCCTTCTGGTCAACCTCACTGCCTTCTGGAACGGGCCAGTGAGGCTGAGAGGAATAGGAGGCCGTACTGTGGTGGCTTCTTCCCTGCTCACAGGAAGTGGGTCTGTGTGGCTAAGCCTCCAAGTAGCCAAATCTTAGCTGTGGAGATGCAGAAGCTGTCACTCCCGACTGAGGCAGGTGTCAAATGCACACAGCTACCCGTGATAGCAGGACGATGACAGCAGCCCCCGTTGTCACGTGCTCACTCTGTGTGCCAGGCTCTAACTAATAAGCACTTACTGATCATTTTTTCATTGAATCCTCAAAAGCCTCTATGAGCGCTATCCTGATTTCCATTTTACTGATGCGGAAGGCTCAGAGGAGATGAGTAACTTGCCTGAGGCCTCGCATTAGTAATAAAGTCGGAGCCAAGACTCGAGGGCCACAGGTCTCTCAGCTTTCAAAGCTCTTCACTGCTGTGGACGTGCATTCAGAGAGCCTCCTTCGGTATAGAATCTGGGAAATTTCCAATTCCGTGGCTGGTTTTCTGTCCTGAACTCTGTCATTTGCTTTGCAGGCAAGAACTGTCAGACGGTGCTGGCTCCCTGTTCTCCAAACCCTTGTGAGAATGCTGCTGTGTGCAGAGAGGCGCCCAATTTCGAGAGTTACACCTGCCTGTGTGCCCCTGGCTGGCAAGGTAACAACCCGGGAAGGGAGAAACCAAACATTTTTTCATGTGGGCAGGTCATCAGAATAAATGGAAGGCCCTGGTCTTTGTCCAGAACACAGGCTTTGGACAGGAGCTACTAATGGGAATGACTTAGAAAGCCTTTCCACGTTGCGTGTCTCTGGGGTCCTCTGGTGCCTGGAAGACTCCAGCCTGAGCCTGAAACCATGATGTCCTGCAGGGAATTTTAGCACCTGGCCAGCTGCTTGCCAGGGGCACAGAGGCCTTAAGGGACTTCCCAAAGCAGGGGATCAACCAGAATACCCTTGAAGTAGCCCATCCCCCTCAGGCCCCACGTAATCTCTGTGGAATCCGAGTCCCCGGACTGGACCACTCATTGCCCTGTGTTTCTAGGTCAGCGGTGTACCATTGACATTGACGAGTGTGTCTCCAAGCCCTGCCTGAACCGTGGCCTCTGCCATAACACCCAGGGCAGCTACATGTGCGAGTGTCCTCCGGGCTTCAGCGGTATGGACTGTGAGGAGGACATCGATGACTGCCTCGCCAGTGAGTATGCCAGCCGGCTCCTAAGCCCCGGGGCCACAGAAGAGCTGGCGGGGGCAACTGCCTCTCAGGTCTGAGACTGGCCACCCCAACAGTTTATCATGTGTCCTTAATATTAGTGTTTTAAATCTTTTCGAAGCTAGTAGCTTTGGGAGTTAAGGCAGAGGAATCTCTTTGAAGCATTCCCTAAGTTACTAGGTTACTGCTCTTAGTGGGACTCAGTACAAGTCGCCCACCTTTATGAGTCTCAGATTAAATTGCTGCTGCTGTTTGGAGCTCTAATTCTCGTGTGTAATGGCTTAGATCCTTGCCAGAATGGAGGCTCCTGTGTCGATGGAGTGAATACGTTCTCCTGCCTGTGCCTTGCGGGCTTCACCGGGGACAAGTGCCAGACAGACATTAACGAGTGTCTGAGCGAACCCTGTAAGAACGGAGGGACCTGCTCCGACTACGTCAACAGCTACACGTGCAAGTGCCCGGCGGGATTTGACGGAGTCCACTGCGAGAACAACATCGACGAGTGCACCGAGAGGTGGGCGCCCATACACTCCAGAAAGAGGGGACACAGCACTGGGATTGCGGGGCAGGGGCAAGGCATCCATGTGGGTCCCAGTCCATAGTCATCTCCTGTTGCCCAGCCCTGATTCCTTGTAGATGTGTAGTTAGCAGGTCAAAGGTCAGGGGCTGACAGGCTTAGTGGGGGGTCATCATTTATTTCTTGCTTAGGGAAACAGGAAGAGCTGTAATTCTGAACAAAAGACAAATTTTCCTCTTTGTCTTTCGTTCCTATTAGTTGACAATTTAAAAATTCTTATTTCTTTACAGATGTGTCATCACTGTTTAAGTAATTTCTGGGAGGCTGTTTTTTTGTGTGTTTTTTTTACTTATTAGCAAATTTGCTATGTTTCTTTTTCATAAAGAAATCTAGAATCAAGAGCTTTCTGTTTAGCACTTTTCTTAGAAATGAAATTGGCTTAGGGATAAAATGAAATGTGATATAGAAGGACTGGGTAAAGTTTGGAAACCTTCACTTTCTCTGGGAATTGCTCATAAACTCAGCCTTTTAAATACTTAAGCTTCTTGGTTGTGGATAGGAAGCTGGGACTCAAGGGGCAACCAGTCTAGTTTGGAAAAAGGTAAAATTTACTGGGTGGAGGGGTTTGGGATGCTCAGGAGTATTGGCCTCCGTAGCATCTTGGGTTCCAGGAACCTTGCTTTTTAAATAGCAGGTCAGAGGACCAGATCACCCCGCTGATGGCGCTCTCCCTGTTTGCTCCTTAGCTCCTGTTTCAACGGGGGCACGTGTGTCGACGGAATTAACTCCTTCTCTTGCTTGTGCCCTGTGGGCTTCACTGGCCTATACTGCCTCCAAGAGATCAATGAATGCAACTCTCATCCGTGCCTGAATGAAGGAATATGTGTGGATGGCCTGGGTACCTACCGCTGCACCTGCCCCTTGGGCTACACTGGGAAAAACTGTCAGGTAATTAAATTCCAGCCCACTCACTCAGCTTCCTCAAAGTAGCAAAGTTCTGTACCTATTTCTTTTCTCGGTACATAAGCCCCTCCTGAAAGAGAAAATTCTAGAACTCAGGGTTGTCCCTGAGATAAATCAGGTTAACTTCTTAGTAGCTAGTAAATTGCAAAATAGTGACACTAGCCAGATAAACAATAAAATTGTTGTTAACAGCCCTAACCTGTTTGGCTCAGTGGATAGAGCATCAGCCTGCAGACTGAAGAGTCCCGGGTTCGATTCCGGTCAAGGGCATATGCCCGAGTTGCAGGCTCAATCCCCAGTCGGGGGTGTGCAGGAAGCAGCCAGTCAATGATTCTCATCATTGATGTTTCTAGCTCTCTCTCTCTTCCTTCCTTTCTGAAATCAATAAAAAAAAAATTGTTGTTAACAGACTGAGAACTGCAGACAAATACATGTGGGAAGTAAGCACATAGATATTGTTTACATTGGAAATACAGAAAGGGAAAAAAGAACAATTAAAAAATTAAAATTTAAAGGTCAGACATATCTAAGGGGATAAGTGTCAGGTCTTACAATGTTGTGACAACCTCCAACCAAGCTATTCACACATCTTTCAAATGCAAATTCCTAAGTTATATTTTTCTGGACTCTTAGGAAGGACCCCTCAGAACCAACTAGTCTAGCCTTTCATTTCATGGACAGAGAAACCAAGTCCCGGAGGGACAAACCAGCTCTTCCAAGGTTGCATACCAAGCACTGTGTGTAATTTTATGCTATTTTACCTCTTAAAACCGTGGTAACATGATAGCATCACAGAACTCTAAAGAATTCAGGACTGAACGGCCACATTTAACGAGCCTTACAGGTGCCCTTCAGTAAGGCTCTGTCCATATTGGACGTGCAGATGTTACCGCCTCTGCATGTTAAACAGCTTGCTGCGGATTCTGAGGGTCGGGGACATCCTCATTGGGTTTCTGCTCATTCTCACGGTGTGAGAGTATAAATGCTGGTGTAGCACTCTGCCCTTCCCCCGCCGGCCCCTCCTTTCACAAACCGTCTGTATTGTGAATTTCCTGCCTCTCCTAAAGGCCACATGGGACAATGGAGGAAGGCCCAAGTCTGCTTGCACTCTTTGCCTCACTTTTTCATAAGCCTGATTTTCTCCACTCGAAACAAGCTGTTTGACAGTTTTTAGGCTTAATAACAGGCTTTAAGATCATGCTCATCACAGACAGGTTTGCTCGAGACCCCCGTGGATTCCTCGCACAGGATTGGCACGGGGAGACGTGTACCTGTCTGACAGCTTGACTCTTGCTTTCTAGCCTGACAGGGTGACCCTATATCCGGACATAATCATGATGTAGGGAATAGCTTAACCTATTGGGCTTCCTCAAATTCTTCAATTTCTCTCGTAAGAACTGTTTAAATCACAGAGCTAAGAGGAATTGGACTATATAAAATGATTAGATTACTTGAGGACACTGGGTCTAGTTTAAGGCTTGGATGAGGGCTTTATTATTATTATTTAATATAATTATTGATTTCAGAGAGGGAGGGAGAAGGAGAGAAAGATAGAAACATCATTGATGAGAGAGAATCATCAATCGGCTGCCTCCCGCACACCCCCTCCCACACACCCCACACTAGGTATTGAGCCCACAATCTGGGCATGTGCCCTGACCAGGAATCAAACCGTGACCTCCTGGTTCATAGGTGGATGCTCAACCACTGAGGGTGACGGCTTTTGGGAAAAAGTAATTAACGTGTTTTTCTTTGATTACTTAAAATGCAGCGTAACCTATTCTCTTCGTTTCCGGTGTGTGGATGTTGACGTGTGTGTGCCTCTGTTTCAGACGCTGGTGAACCTCTGCAGTCGGTCTCCATGTAAAAACAAAGGCACCTGCATTCAGGAGAAAGCGCACTCCTGGTGCCTGTGTCCACCTGGGTGGGCTGGTGCCTACTGCGACGTGCCCAATGTCTCCTGTGAGGTGGCGGCCAAGGGAAGAGGTAAGCTCTGCCCCTCAGGCCCAAGGGCCATTCCCTGAAGTATTGACCTGCCAGTGGCATTTAGGGCAGGCGTTGTTACTGTGGGCTGAGGGGAGGGCAGGCAGTACGGGGTGGGCAAGGCTCTGGCGAAAGGGCCTGAGATGAAAGGGCAGGGGAACAGGCTTAGAGATTCCAAAAAAGAAATGTATTTGTATGCCTCTTCTTGATCCATTCGGCTATCAAAGGACACCTAGGTTGCTTCCTTAGCTTGGCTGTTGTAAATAATTCTGTGATGAGCATAGTGGTGAATATATCTTTTCACATTCGTGTTTTCGTTTTCTTTGGATAAATACCCAGAGGTGGAATTGCTGGGTCATATGGTAGTTCTATTTTTAATTTTTTGAGGAACCTTCATACTTCACCAGTTTACAATCCCACCAACAGTGCACAAAGGCTCCCTTTTCTCCACATTCGTGCCAACACTTGTTATTTCTTGTTATTTGTTGACTTTTTGATAATAGCCATTTGGACAGGTGTGAGGTGATATCCCATTGTGGTTTTAATTTGCATTTTCCTGGTGATTAGTGATCTTGAGCATCTTTTCATATGTGTATTGGCCATCTGTGTCTTTGAAGAAATGTCTATTCAGGTCCTCTGCTCATTTTAAAAATAAAAATTTTGATGTTGAGTTATATGAATTATTTATGTATTTTGGATATTAATCCCTTATCAGATATATGATTCAAATATCTTCTCCCACTCGGTAGGTTGTCTTTTCATATGATTTCACTTACATGTGGAACCTAAAAACAAAAAACAAAAACAGACTTATAGATACAAAGAACAAACTGATGGTTGTTGGAGCGATGTTGGGTTAAAAACATGAAGGAGCCCTAGCCGGCTTGGCTCAGTGGATAGAGCGTCAGCCTGTGGACTGAAGGGTCCCAGGTTCGATTCCGGCCAAGAGCACATGCCTGGGTTGCGGGCTCGATCCCCAGTAGGGGGTGTGCAGGAGGCAGCCGATCAATGATTATCTCTCATGATTGATGTTTCTATCTCGCTCTCCTTCTCCCTTCCTCTCTGAAATCAATAAAGAAATATATTTAAAAAATGAAATAAAAACATGAGGGGGATTAAGAGGTACAAACTTCCAGTTATAAAATAAAAAAGTCATGGGGATGTAGTTTATAGCTTAGGGAATATAGTCAATAATATCATCATAATGTGGTATGGTGTCAGATGGTTACAGCACTTACCATAGTGATCACTTTATGATATATATATATATATATATATATATATATATATATGTATATATATATATGTATATAAATTATGAATTATTATCATGGTGTGCACCTAAAACTCATATAATGTTTTATGTCACTATATTTTCATAAGAACAAGAACTGTATTTTAAGTGAAACGAAGGCATGTGCCACTTTCAGGGCTTGTTTATTTTCAACACATATCCGATGTCAGGGTCCCTGAATTAGACGGGAATAAAATCCGATGTGCCCACTGGCTTGATGAGTTTGCTCAGAGTTGGTCTGAACCTGACACTTCCTGTGTCTTCTGTGACATGTCTTCCTCCTCTGGTTCCCCAGGGGTGACCCCCGACCGCTTGTGCCAGCACTCGGGCGTCTGCATCAATGCCGGCAACTCGCACCACTGCCAGTGCCCCCTGGGCTACACCGGGAGCTACTGCGAGCAGCAGCTGGACGAGTGTGCATCCAATCCCTGCCAGCACGGAGCCACCTGCAGGGACTTCATTGGTGGATACCGATGTGAGGTAAGAGGCAGGCACACAGCAGAGACCTCCCGGAAGATGGTGCAGCTATTGTGAACACCAGCATATTGAATTTAGCTGCATATGTCTTATTTTTACAAATTTTAACCAAACACCATTCCAGTGTTTCCTGTGAAAGTATACATTTGTTTCTTTCAGTCCCCTGTGCCGTAAGTTAGCGTAGCTGTAGCAAGCTATTTTCAGCGGTCTGGAACCATCTCACTTCCCTGGGGCTGCCTCTGCTCGTTTTGACATTCAGAGCCAGTATTCACTGCCTGAACCTGGAGATGAATAAATGCAGTACCTTTACCACCATCCACACAACTACTTGGCTGAGTCATAGCATCTTCATAACCTACAAGGGAATGAATGCATCTTTTAAAGATGGGACAACCGCCCACAGGAGGGACAGGAGTTTTGCATAGGGGGCCTGTCTGAAACATCCCTCAGGATCCAGTCCTTGCCATCCACTATGGTGGCTTCTTCAGCGGGAAGAGGTCAATGCGGGTGGGCGGCAATCAGCCCCGCACAGGATGATGGTTGGGAGGGGAGTGATGTCAGAAACATGCCTGAGCCAGGACTCGGGGCAGAGGTCACGGTATCATGCAAGATGTCATTTGCTCTCGTGGTCTGTTTCCAACGATGGTCCAGTATTTCTTGTCCTTCTGTCTGCCCCTGGCAGTGCATCCCAGGATACCAGGGTGTCAACTGCGAGTACGAGGTGGATGAGTGCCAGAACCAGCCATGCCAGAACGGGGGCACCTGTGTCGACCTGGTGAACCATTTCAAGTGCTCCTGCCCGCCAGGCACCCGCGGTAGGAAATCAGCCTTACCCATTCTCTGTCCAGGGCTTTCTCTAAGTTACAAATGCAATTTTAATGTTGGGAGGAGGCGTTAAAAATCAGACATTTAGTTCTGAATTCTGGTAACTCACCGTTTCATTCTCTCGTCTGTTGCCTGGCTCTGAGGTTCTGACTCATGTCCTTAGTGCTGTCTGGGTCTTGCTGACATCTGATGTTCCATGAAACACAGAATGTGGAAATCATAGAATTTTGCAACAACATTAGCCTGGTGGCGAGATTTCTTGGAGCTTTGAGGGAAAACAGCCAGTAGCCTCTTGAATAAATAATTCCCATTTACCAGCTGATGTGTGTTTTTAAACTTGCCAAGTCTCGTCCCCCTAAGGTGGGGAAATGAATGGAATGAAAACCCTTGCTGGAGAGCAGGGTCCCCAGAACGGTCCTAATTCTCGCTCTCCTCTCCCCCCAGGCCTGCTTTGTGAGGAGAACATTGACGACTGTGCCAGGGGACCCCACTGCCTCAACGGTGGGCAGTGTGTGGATAAGATCGGGGGCTACAGCTGCCGGAGAGCGGTGTGAGGGAGACATCAACGAGTGCCTGTCCAACCCCTGCAGCTCGGAGGGCAGCCTGGACTGCGTACAGCTCACCAACGACTACATGTGCGTCTGCCGCAGCGCCTTCACAGGTGAGGCCTTTCCACGAGGAGGCAGGACCCATGGGGCCCACCCAGACCCGAGGGAGCTTTTCTTAGGCAGGAAAACTAGACCAGCTTCGGTCAGGGCCCAGTTTCTTCTTAGGTCTGTGCTCCATAGATTTTATAGTCAGTCTACAATCTCTACATTTTCTCTTTTGCTATACATTGACATATATATATATATATATACACACACACACACACAGACACACACACACAGAGACATATGTAGTATATATACATTTACTAGTATGTAGCAGAGATATAAAAAAAATAGAATGTTGGGAGTAGTTGAGCAAAATCACATTTTTAATTGCAATAAAATACACGTGAAGTTTACCATCTTAACCATTTTTAAGTGCACAGCTCAGGGATATAAGTACGTTCACACTGTTGTGCTGCCATCACCAGCATCCATCCACAGAGCTGTTTTCCTCTGAGCAATACCAGTGGGGAAATGAACTCTGGAAAGCTAAGCTGTATTTTAAAGCAGCACCAATCAGGCTTCAGAAAGGCTGAAAAATGATTGAAAAGAGATGTTATGGATGAAAATTCTCTATAAATTGCAAATCAGTATTTATATGTATTGGTCTGGGGTAGTCTCTCCTGTGAAGTAGACGATGTTAACAAAATGCAGTGAACAGTTTTGCTAAATGTTTCCTTTGACTTATGACAGGTAAATGCCTTCACTAAAAAGCTGTGTCGTTTTCCTTTTTTCTTTTTTTGGTGATGGTTTTAGAGTCACTTTTCATATCCATCCTGTTCTGTGAGTCAGGTGGGAATGTAGGCCAGGCGTGCTTGTCGTGTAGATGAGACAGGTGAGGAGGTGGGTCAGGCACCCTGAGGTCAGCGCGTGCTTCTCCTCGTCTCTGTGGCTGAGACCTGAGCGCTCATACCTCCCACCCCACCTCTGACCTCTGACCCTGGGCTCGCTCACACCCTCCCAGGGCTCTGCTCAGTAACTTACAGCTACACTTCTGTCTCCTAAAGCTCCTTTTCATTTTCTCTTTTGAGGTCGTCACTGTGAAACTTTCGTCGATGTGTGTCCCCAGATGCCTTGCTTGAATGGAGGGACTTGTGCCGTGGCCAGCAACATGCCTGATGGTTTCATTTGTCGTTGTCCCCCGGTAAGTGCCGTGTTGCCTCCTGAAGGCGCACGCTGTCTTCATACGGTCTGACCGAGCCGAGCTTAGCTGGTCTTCCCACGCTGTAGGGGGGCTCTCTTGGTGGGGAGGTTTCTCCATTGCAGCTCCCTTAGAAGGAAGGGCTTGGGTTTTCCGTGTAGAGTTAAGATACTGATACAGTGGGCGCCCTAGTCTGCAAATGTGGGTCTTCGGAAGCAGCGAGGGAACCCGCACGCGGTGGGGGATGCTCCCCGCAGAGAGGACTGCTGTCTCTGGCTGCGGGTGCTGTGCTGGAGGTGGTCTTGCTGCCCAGCTGGGGGCAGAGATGGTTGGAAACGCAGCTTCGCTTGCATTCCTCAGCAGGGGCTGTTTGGGAACAAGCCACTGCTTCTTAAACTAGAAGGAAGCCTGATTTTAGTGATTTGCTGTGCAGACCCCTTTGCCGCTGGCAGAGGCTGAAACCTCCCTAAAACAGAGATCACTGTGTGGAGGCCCCGAGGGGAAGCCTATGTATTTACCCAGAACTCCTGAAGTGATTCCCCACACTCCCCTAAGGCCTTACATAAGTGATGGAACAATGGTTAGGAAAGGTGCTAGCAGATGCAGTGTCACTGCGTCTTATCCCATCACGACCTGTGGATTTAATTTGGGTGTGATCTTAAGTGGATAGAACTCACATCACCCCAAGGATTGATTGACTTGAAGAGGTCTCTTCTTGCAACTTGGTCCAGTTGGCTGCGTGGAGAAATCTTAGCCTCCCTAGCAGTGTGGCCAAAGGCTTGGGAGGGGAAATGGGACGTGCCCTCAAGAATCGATCCCCCATCCTCATTTGTTCACTGATTTCCACAGGGGTTCTCCGGGGCGAGATGCCAGAGCAGCTGTGGACACGTGAAGTGTAGGCGAGGGGAGCAGTGTGTCCACACGCCCTCAGGGCCCCGCTGCTTCTGCCCCAACCCCCAGGAGTGCGAGCTGGGCTGTGCCAGCAGCCCCTGCCAGCACGGGGGGAGCTGCCTCCCGCAGCGCCAGCCCCCGTATTACTCCTGCCAGTGCCCTCCGCCGTTCCGGGGCAGCCGCTGTGAGCTCCACGCGGCCCCCACCAGCACCCCACCTGCCACCTGTCACAGCCAGTACTGTGCCGACAAAGCTCGGGACGGCGTCTGCGATGAGGCCTGCAACAGCCACGCCTGCCAGTGGGACGGGGGTGACTGCTCCCTCACCATGGAGAACCCCTGGGCCAACTGCTCCTCCCCACTGCCCTGCTGGGACTACATCAACAACCAGTGCGACGAGCTGTGCAACACGGCCGAGTGCCTGTTCGACAACTTCGAGTGCCAGGGGAACAGCAAGACGTGCAAGTAAGGGTCCTGGGTCCCTCGAAGCGGAGGGCGACTGTCACTAACACACCTCGGTTTCCTGTTCTTGCTCCTAACCACTCCAGCGCTTCCGCCCGACCTGCCTCTGCTTTCAGACTGGTGCCCGAGGCCCTCTGCTTCCTGGCGCCGGCCTCGTCCCACCGCACGCCGTCCGGGGCGCTGCCTGGCTGGCAGAGGTCCAGGGATGCTCCTTGCACAACCACCCTCTCTCTGCCTATTTCTGCCTTCTCACCTGCTGCTCTCGTGACCTCCTGGGGAAATGCCTTTGGAAGTGGTGTTGCCCACTCTCAGGCAGCCTCTCACGTAACCTGCCCGCAGGATGGATGGAAAGGTCTGTACCTCTGCCTGCTCACCCCGACCTTTCCCAGCTGGGTTTTTCAGGAAGCGGAGCTAGGTTAGGCCGCGCAGCCCTCCTGGTCTTCGCTTTGCAGCTACAGGGCGCTCTGTGGGTCACATGGAGACTGTCCTGTTAGCTGTCCCATTCTATTTGCCTCTGATGACTTCTCCACAGCCTGGTGAGGCGTGGGTGTTGTTAATGGTCTTTCCAGGGTGAGGGAACCGAGACCCAGTGGTTAAATGGCCAAAGCACACCCAGCGCTTCCTGACGCCTCAGCGCTCACTGAGCTAGCGTGGCAGCTTGTGCCGAATGGTGTGACTGCCACAGGGTGTCAGGGAGGGGAGTGCCGATGAAGTGGGCTGTGCACCATTTAGGTTCTGGGACTCGATTTCCTTTTCCTAGTATTTGAAAGAGGCTGTACAAGTTAGATGTGGTTTCCCGTGTGGGACACACACCTCCCCGCCCACCTTCCCTAGCTGGGACTCAGTGTGGGTGGGGAGGATAGAGGCCACGTGGACATGTCTTGATGGCTCGGAGCTATATATCCAGGTTCTAGAGGCACCTTTACTTCCAATGCCCCTGGTTACCTCGCCAGGGGCGGTGCAGACAGAAATAGAGGAAGCATGAGGCAGGTTGATTTTCCTCTTGTTTGTACACCTGACTTAAAAACACGACGAGCTGCCAGGGGGCCCTAGCCCGTGTGGCACAGTGAGCACGTGCTGTCTCTCGTTCAGGGTGCGCCCCCTGAAGCCGTGTGGCGCAGACTCTGTGCTCTAAGATGGCAGGGGCGGGAGATCCAGGGAAGGCATCACGGGCATTTGGGGCCTGACCTGGGCCACAGAAGATGGGTAGGAAAAACCCAGCGTAGTTCCCAGTGGAAAACCAAATGGAGCTGCGGCCTCGTCTGAGCCCCTCCCCCCGGCCTGCCTCCCTGCCCAGGTACGACAAGTACTGCGCAGACCACTTCAGGGACGACCACTGCGACCAGGGCTGCAACAGCGAGGAGTGCGGCTGGGACGGGCTGGACTGCGCTGCTGACCGGCCGGAGAACCTGGCCGAGGGGACCCTGGTGATCGTGGTGCTGATGCCCCCCGAGCAGCTGCTGCAGGATGCGCGCAGCTTCCTGCGGGCCCTGGGCACCCTGCTGCACACCAACCTGCGCATCAAGCGGGACCCCCAGGGGCACCTCATGGTCTACCCCTACTACGGCGAGAAGCCGGCTGCCCTGAAGAAGCAGAGGCTGGCACGCAGGTCCCTTCCTGAGGATCCAGACCAGGAGGTGGCTGGGTAGGTTTTTGGTTTCTGAGCTTTTTTTTAGATATATTTTTATTGATTTGGGAGAAGGAGAGCTAGAAATATCAATGATGAGAGAGAATCATTATCAGCTGCCTCCTGCATGCCCCCCATTGGGGATTGAGCCCACAACCCGGGCACGTGCCTTGACCAGGAATCGAACTGTGACCTCCTGGTTCATAGGTTGACGCTCAACCCCTGAGCCATGCCGGCCGGGCTCTGAGCTTCTTAAAGCTTAATTTTATAAAGCTGAGCACTTCGATACACAGAGGAAGTCATAACGTAAATCTGTGAAAATGCAAAGCCCAGACAAATAAAACAGCCCACCAGGTAAAACAGACGCACGGTCCCAGGATCTGTGTCTAAGACTAAAGGTTTGCCTTGATCTTGGGGATCTGCAAGGTGGGCTGGAGCGGGCACGAGGCAGGAGGCAGGGAGGCCTCCTCAGATGCTGGGCTCCCCAACCTCTCGCCAGTCACCTTACATCCCTTTAGCGGGACTTCTCTCTTGTATCAATCGTTGGCGTCTCAGCTGTGTGTTGCCTCAGTCAGAAGGCCTGGACTCAGCCCAGGAAGGTGAGGCACCCCCTAAGCAGGAATCAGTGTGTAGGATCTGAAGGAGATCCTTTCTGGAGGAGGCAGCACCACAGAGCGGAGAGGCCGGCACTGCAGGAGACAAGGAAGGCTCATGCAGCCCTCCCTAACTCCTCATTGCCCTTTCTCCTCTTTCCCCTGGGCACCCACAGCTCTAAGGTATTTCTGGAAATCGACAACCGCCAGTGTGTTCAAGATTCAGACCAGTGCTTCAAGACCACGGACGCAGCTGCAGCTCTTCTGGCCTCTCACGCCATCCAGGGCACCCTGTCCTACCCGCTGGTCTCTGTCGTCAGTGAGTAGCACTGCTTTAGGGGGAAGGTATGGGGGGCGTCACCTGGGGACAAAGAGGAAGGGCACACTCCTCAACGTGCAGCTCTTCGTTGTTCAGGGTGGGAGCTCCCAGCCGCCCTCGGGGTAAACGTAAAGCTAGTGTGGGGAGGTCGATGTCCTATCAGCACGTTTCCTGTCGCTTGCACTTGCAGGTGAATCCCTGGGTCCCAAACGCACCCAGCTGCTCTATCTCCTTGCCGTCGCTGTTGTCATCATCCTGTTCCTTCTGCTGCTGGTGGTCATCATGGCAAAACGGAAGCGTAAGCACGGCTCCCTCTGGCTGCCCGAAGGCTTCACCCTTCGCCGGGAGTCCAGCAATCACAAGCGTCGCGAGCCGGTGGGACAGGATGCCGTGGGGCTGAAGTAAGCCGGCCTGCCCGCAGCACTGCTCACAGCAGTGAGGAGCAGGGGTAGAGCAGGCAGGCAGGTCGTGGGGGTGATGCCTTTAGCTCTGAGCTCTGAGCTCTGGCCACATCGCCACACGTGACCACACCCTGAGCAGCTGTGAAATAGCAGCCAGAGGCCGGTGCTTCCGACCTGTACGTGTATCTGTCGCGTTGGTGCTCAGCTTCTGTGTTGAGGCACACTTTTTGTTCTGTTTTGTTAAACCTCACCTGAGGATATCTTTTCCCATTAATTTTTAGAGAAAGTGGAAGGGAGGAGGAGAGAGAGAGAGACAGAAAGAAAGATGGATGTGGGAGAGACACATCATTGGTTTTCTCCCGCACACACCCTGACAGGGCCAGAGACCCTGCAACCCAGGCACATGCCTTGGACCGGAATCGAACCTGAGACCCTTTAGTATGCAGACCAATGCTCTAAACACTGAGCACACAGGCCAGGGCAAGGCACACCTTTGTTGTAAGCTCTTGATCAGCAGGAAAGAAAGGATGTTTGCCCAGTAAAGGGGCGTAAAATGCTGCCCATCCCTGGGGGCCAAAGCGAGTATAGAGAGGAGAGTGTGTCCTGGTGGGACAGGTGTGGCAATCCTCCGGATCCGTTAATGATACGCCTCTTCTCTTGTTTTCCCTTCCTAACCCTGGCCACCAGGAATCTCTCCACGCAAGTCTCAGAGGCTAACCTGATAGGTTCTGGAACAAGTGAGCATTGGGTCGACGATGAAGGGCCCCAGCCAAAGAAAGCCAAGGTGAGTTGGCCACCATCGGCCACGCTCGGGTCACATTTCCGTTTCTGTCCTTGGGAGCAGGAGTGTCCCAAATGGGAGTGATCCTCTTTATACGTTGCCCGGGCCATGGCTATTCCAGGTGGTCATGAAAGGCAGGGATCTCCAGGTCATTGCTGGCCTTGGGTGACCTCTGTGTGTTTTCAGTAAGAACTCTTAAGAATAATAAAACAGGCAACAAGCATGCTTCCTTCCTGAAGTGCCGTAGATGGCAGCCGGGTAAGGACTGAGGTGTGTAAACAGTTTCCTGCTGGCTCCATCGCGCCCCTGCTCTGTCGGGCATTTCCCCTCTGGAAGGGAGGGTGGGATTAACAGTGAAGAAGCCAGTGGCCATTAGAGGCTCCTCACCTTGAACCTAGGAGCTAACACCATTTAGAAGTAAGAGGTAGATTGGGCTGGGGCTGAGGTGGAAAGGGAGGCCATCGGTCCATAGCTATACGAGGCTGGGACGTGTGCATCCCGTGGGTATTCTAAATCAGCGTGAAGAGGTGGACCTATAAATAGCATGTTAGGTAGGTAGACACGTCAGGTATTAAGGCTGAGGCTAGAGTTTGGGCTTGGAGGTGGGAGAGCTGTACGGTGACCCGGGACAGGTGAGCAGGAGCTGGGAGACGGCCGTGGATGCAGATCTGAGGGCTAGAGGCAGGGCTGAGGGGAAGCTGGCGGGAGGCTCGGGACTAGCTTCGTCCGCAGCTCCTGGTGGCGGGCAGCTTCACAGCCGGCGTGCCGTCCCCTTTCAGGCTGAAGCCGAGGCTTTGCTCTCAGAAGACGACCCCATCGATCGACGCCCATGGACACAGCAGCACCTCGAGGCCGCAGACATCCGCAGGACCCCGTCGCTGGCCCTCACGCCCCCGCAGGCAGAGCAGGAGGTGGACGTGCTGGACGTGAACGTCCGGGGCCCAGGTCAGCACCCTCACGAGGCCACGCCTGCCTGGGTTCTGTGTTGTCCTTCCCGTGTCTGCCCTGCTTGGTGATGTGCCCCCAGCCAGTTTCCCAGGCGCTGAGTCAGCGTGAGGAGACAGTGCTTGAGGAATACAGACATGCAGACATGAACTCACAGGAGCAGACAGGGAGGATCGCACACCGCTTCACGCCCAGCGTGCTTGCGAACAAGTGGGCTGATTATATGAGATAGATTTCATTTACTTTTTTGTTTGTGTTTGGGGGTGGTGTTGGGATGGGGTTTTTTTATTATTAATCCTCATCCAAGGATATTTTTAGTGAGTGGAAGGGAGGAGGAGAGACAGAGACACATCATAGATTGCCTCCCCCACGCAACCTGACAGGGGCCAGGGATCGAGCCTGCAACCGAGGTACGTGCCCTTGACTGGAATCGAACCTGCAACCCTTCAGTCTGTGAGCCAAACCCACTAGGACGAGAGAGATTTTAGTACAACAGAAAAGTCATATCCCAAAGCAGAGGGATGGAGAATTCATTTAGCTGAAACTTCGGTGCCTATAGCTCTATTAACACTGAATATTTTAAATTATCCATTTAAAAGTAACATAGCCCTTAGAAACTTGCACAGAAAGCTTGTTTAACTTCAAGAAGAACCCTTCTTGCTGCCTCACTACCCTTTACTGGGGGGCCATTCCCAGTGGAAGAGCAGGTGGCCAGTGTCACCAGAAGCACAGGGACTCTTCCCAGTCGAATAACGTGACTCACGTTGAACTGTCCGACAGCGGGGTTAATTGAACACGAGTGCTGTTCTCCTCCTGAGTCGCGGGTTCTCCTTTCCTGTAGATGGGTGCACCCCGCTGATGCTGGCTTCCCTCCGAGGAGGCAGCTCAGACATGAGTGAGGAAGATGAGGACGCAGAGGACTCGTCTGCCAACATCATCACAGACTTGGTCTACCAGGGGGCCAGCCTGCAGGCCCAGACAGACCGGACCGGCGAGATGGCCCTGCACCTGGCCGCACGCTACTCGAGGGCAGATGCCGCCAAGCGTCTCCTGGACGCAGGTGCAGACGCCAACGCCCAGGACAACATGGGCCGCTGCCCTCTCCATGCTGCAGTGGCAGCTGATGCCCAAGGTGTTTTCCAGGTAAAAAACATGATCTGCAGTGTCTTGTCTTTGTTAAGGCACTTAGCATCCCATTACATTCACTCAGTACTTCTTTTTTTAAAAAATATATTTATTGATTTTTTACAGAGAGGAAGGAGAGGGATAGAGAGTTAGAAACGTCAATGAGAGAGAAGCATCGATAAGCTGCCTCCTGCACACCCCTTTACTGGGGATGAGCCTGCAACCAAGGTACATGCCCTTGACTAGAATCGAACCTGGGACCCTTCAGTCCCCAGGCCAATGCTCTATACAGTGAGCCAAACCAGCTAGGGCACTCAGTACTTCTTTCAGAGAATAAAGCAGGTGGCAGAGCTGGGCTTGCTAGATGGGAAAGCCAGAAAAGGGAGGAAGGCAAATTGACCTAATTGTCTGTAGCCAGGGGTTGACAGACCCGAAAGCAGTGTTCTGAGTGCGAATCACATGGTTTTCTGAGGTGCCAGAATGCCTCCCAGATGAGTAGATCGAGGGGAGTGGTACCTGTGATGAAGCCTTTGCTAGTATCAGCTTCTGCCTACAGGTTTACCTGACCACGTGGGCTTCCACGGGCTCCTCTGTGGTTTTCTTTACGTGAAGTCACAGTGTGCTCCTTGATGCCCTTGTATTGCACCCTTTTGGGGAAATTGGAAGCATCCTGTACACCATAATGGAGGTGGTGGTATTTTCCCACATCCCTCTTCTTTCTTTAGAAAGTAGGACTTCACTTTACATGGAGCCATTGTCTTGAGCACATTTGTTCATTCGTTCATTCATTCATTCATTCATTCCACAAACATCTGTTGATTGATCCTGGTAGAGACTCGGGCACAAAAAGAACAAGACGTTTCTTCCCCTCCAGGAACTCACAGCGTGGCCTCCACTACGATGCCCTTGGTCCTTCTCTCAGTGTCATTACATTCTTCATCCAGGTGACTCTCTCTCCTGTGCTTTCCCTTCTAGATCCTGATCCGCAACCGAGTGACCGACCTGGATGCCAGGATGAATGACGGCACCACACCCCTGATCCTGGCTGCGCGCCTGGCTGTGGAGGGGATGGTGGCGGAGCTGATCAACTGCCAAGCAGACGTGAACGCGGTGGACGACCACGGTAGGGACGCGGTGGGGTTGGGATTCTGACCCGCAGAGCATCCTCTAAGGGGGAGGGATGTTGATCCTTAAAGACCTGCCTCAGGTCCAAAGCCACTGAAGGTTCATCTGTCCATCCAGTCTTTCTCTTAACATGATGAGCTTGGAGAGCTGAGCCATTGGGAGGTGCATGGATGAAGAGGGGAAGGGATGGTTAGGGAGGGCTCAGGGCCTCAAAGCAGGTCTGTGAAAGGTTTGCCTGTGTGAGCTGCCTGGCCTGCCACTCTCATGAGGACGTATGAGAGCCGGATTCCCTGGGATGGGGCACCGTTAGAGACCCTAAGTATACGTTCTGGCGTGTATACATCTATACGGTCTTCACTGCGGCAGGGTCGGTTCTGCCATGTGGAGGGCGGGGGCACCACAGACAAATGGTCCTCATCCCGGGAGGTCCTCTGGAGGCTGAGCAGCCTGCACGCAGCACTCCTAGAACAGGGGGAAGGAGGGCATACTTAGAGTTTGTCCTTGGACCCACAGGGAACTGACTTCCTGATGCGAGGAGCGGGACGTGTCCTCTAGGCCGCCTGCTTACACGAACGTTTCTCTTGCAGGAAAATCTGCTCTTCACTGGGCAGCAGCTGTCAACAACGTGGAGGCGACGCTTTTGCTGCTGAAAAATGGGGCCAACCGAGACATGCAGGACAACAAGGTGCAGTCTGGGCTCCGAGCGGGAGGGCAGGCCCCGCCGCGCCCAGCATCCAAGGCCTCCCCTGTCTCCCGCAGCTCCGCCTGTGATCAGTGTAGACAGAGGAGGAAGCGGGCTGGACGGGAGCCTTAGGAAGGGCATCTGGCTCCCCCAGTGAAGGGCCGGGGCTGAGCCTCTGCCCACGCGGTACTCAGCCTGCTGCAGGCCGTTCTGCACGTGACTCGGTGCAGCCTCGCTGCCTCGCTCGTCTTGGACGGCCCTTCTGCTGTGCCCTGCCCTGCTCTTGCTCACTTCTTTCTCTTGTTTGTTTTCCTGCTGCTCTTCTTTTCTGCTCTTGGACACCACGTGTTTTCCTGTTTGCTTTTCTTCCTCTGAGTTGTGGGTCAGGCTTCCCTCTCTGGCTCATCTTCTCCCTTCCCCCTACTTTAGTTCTTCTTTGTGCATGTCCTTTCTCCGCTTTCTTTTACTTTTCCCAGCTCTGCACATGCTTTAGGTTCTCCCCTGCTGCCTTGCTTATTTCTAACTCGTTCGCCTACTTTGATGAGCTCAGTGCTCTTTTACGACGCTCTGCCTCAGCGGCATGCTTGAGTTCACACATTCCCACCTAAGGAGACACTGCCCTCAACGGGCAAAATTGGTTCCTGGGCTGGGGTGAAATAATCGTACTCTTTCGCCTGAAGCATAGATATCCGTTCAGCACATGGCTAGAGAGACAGTCTATCGGTGGCATTAAAATTTCACGCAGGGGGGCAGTTTGGGGAAAAACGTTGAAGGGGAGGGTGATAGTAAAAGGATTGAGAAACATGGCTCTGGTCTCAAGAGAGTCATTCATTCAACTGTGCTCTTCGTGGGCCTTCCCTGCAGGAGGAGACGCCGCTGTTCCTTGCTGCCCGGGAGGGGAGCTATGAGGCCGCCAAGATCCTCTTAGACCATTTTGCCAACCGGGACATCACAGACCACATGGACCGCCTGCCCCGGGACGTGGCTCGGGAGCGCATGCACCACGACATCGTGCGCCTGCTGGACGAGTACAACGTGGCGCCGAGCCCTCCGGGCTCCGTGCTGACCTCCGCCCTCTCCCCCGTCATCTGCGGGCCCAACCGGTCCTTCCTCAGCCTCAAACACACTCCGATGGGCAAGAAGCCCAGACGGCCCAACGCCAAGAGCGCCGTGCCCACCAGCCTCCCTAACCTGGCCAAGGAGGCCAAGGAGGCCAAGGGTGGCAGGAGGAAGAAGTCGCTGAGTGACAAGGCCCAGCTGTCGGAGAGCTCCGTGACTCTGTCCCCCGTCGATTCCCTCGAGTCCCCTCACACCTACGTTTCCGACACCACCTCCTCCCCAATGATCACATCCCCTGGCCTCCTACAGGCCTCGCCCAACCCCATGCTGGCCGCGGCCGCGGCCCCCGCCCCCGTCCACGCGCAGCATGCACTGTCCTTCTCTAACCTCCGTGAGATCCAGCCTTTGGCCCACGGGCCTGGCACTGTGCTTCCCTCGGTGAGCCAGCTGCTGTCCCACCACCACATGGTGCCTCCAGGCAGCGGCAGTGCGGGGAGCGTGGGTAGGCTGCATCCGGTCCCTGTCCCGGCAGACTGGATGAACCGCATGGAGATGAATGAGAGCCAGTACAACGAGATGTTTGGTATGGTACTGGCACCAGCTGAGGGCACCCCTCCTGGCATAGCTCCTCAGAGCAGGCCGCCGGAAGGGAAGCATATGACCGCCCCCCGGGAGCCCTTGCCCCCCATCGTGACTTTCCAGCTAATCCCCAAAGGCGGGATTGCCCAACCCGCCGGGGCGCCCCAGCCTCAGTCCAGCTGCCCTCCGGCTGCTGCAGGCCCCATGCCCACCATGTACCAGATTCCAGAAATGGCTCGTTTGCCCAGCATGGCGTTCCCCGCTGCCGTGATGCCCCAGCAGGACGGGCAGGTCGTTCAGACCATCCTCCCCACCTACCACCCTTTCCCAGCCTCGGTGGGCAAGTACCCCACGCCCCCTTCACAGCATAGTTACGCTTCCTCCAATGCGGCCGAGCGAACGCCCAGCCACAGTGGTCACCTGCAGGGGGAGCATCCCTACCTGACCCCATCCCCAGAGTCTCCTGACCAGTGGTCAAGTTCGTCACCCCACTCTGCTTCTGACTGGTCAGACGTGACCACCAGCCCCACTCCCGGGGGCGCCGGAGGAGGTCCGCGGGGACCGGGGACACACATGTCTGAGCCAGCACGCAGCAACATGCAGGTTTACGCGTGAAAGCCTGCCTCCGGTGCAGGCACAGAACTGCCTATTGTAAATGCTGCTGAGGACAAATGAAGGTCATCCGGGAGAGAAATGAAGAAATCTCTGGGACCAGCTTCTGGAGGCAGAAGAGAGGAGACGCTCTTACCTTTCAGCTACTGCAAGGAAAGCAGTCCCATCAGCGTCAGCGGGTGTCTGCAGGGCTCTGGGAGGGAGCGATACGCCTCCTAATCTCTTGCCCATCAAGCCAAGTGGAAATGCAAGATGAATACGAGACTTGGGACCATGTTTACCCTCTTTTACTTGGAGAATGGACGGATGCCTGTTGTAGCTCAGACATTCTTGCAGCTGGGACTGCGCTGTACGCCCTGGGGGCTCCTGCCCTGTCCATGAGAAGATTCCACGGGGAATTATCCCTGGAATTCTAGCCGGACTGACCTGTCTCATCCTCTCAGCCGTGGCAATTCTTCGGACTGTTTGGTGCTTTGAGTTTTGCACCTGTCTGTGTTCGCAGCCACATCAGCACGGTACCGGCCCGGCCTCTGTGCCTTTAACCATTCCTGGTCTGGAACGTAACTTTCACTGCCTTTTCCCTCCGTGTTCGCAGCCACACCAGCAAGATACAGGCCCGGCCTCTGTGCCTTTAACCATTCCTGCTCTGGAACGTAACTTTCACTGCCTTTTCCCTCCCGTTTTCCACTCTCCCTGGGGGTCTCCCGGGGTGGCTTTGGTTATGGTTCTCAGCATAAACCTTCCTGTTTCTTTAGAAAACGGACATTCGGCATCCTGACAGCATTCCTGGAAGAGGAGCAAAATATTTTTCTTTGAACCCCGTTTTGGGACAGGAGATCCCTTCAGGATGCTCCTAAGCTCCCTGGCCTGCATGCAGGGCTCCATGGAAACCTTACGGGAGAGAGGGTGAGAGTCCGTCTTTCTGTTCGTGGCCTAGTCAGCGTGCAGTTTTACCCTTGGCAGTTGGGTACTATGACCCTTGGAAAAAAAAAAACCCACCAGGACTCAGAATGTTGGAATGACCAAGAGACAAACTCACTGATGCAAGAAGGGTTCCCACTGGCTGGTGGCTTCCCTCCCTGCCCAGCAGCGCACTGACTCCGTGGGAAGCCTGTGCGCGCCTCCCCGCCGGCAGAGCCCTCGGGGGCTCCCCTCACTCACCCAGCAGACAAAGCTGTCTGTGTATCGGGCCTTTCCTTCCATTCGTCCTCACAGAAGAAAATCTCTCAGACGACATTCTCTCACCTTCTAGAATGGAACTGGCCTCGGCTCCGGGCAGCCCATGGCAGCCGTCTTCCCTTCGTTTCCTGATTCTCTTTCTGATCACAGGCCCATTCACCAGTCTTCCTTCCGCACAGGGCGGGGCTGAGTTACTGGTGCCCCCAGTAGGTTCTCACCGAACATGGATTTATTTTCAAGGGCAGGAAATGGAGCCTTGGCCTCGCTCTCTAGGGTCAAGGCCAGTCCCTTGGAAAGGGAGGAACGACGAGGCAGCCCTTGCTACTTCTTGCCACCATTCCATTTCCTTTGAAGCAGTCATGGCATCTCCTTGTAGGTAACTAACAAGCTTATCAGGGACATTTTTCTTTCCTAGCGTCACCGTCTAGATGACAATGGACAGTTACAGACTCACTGTCCTCGACACCCTCGTGTTCAGTGTGGAAATGCATCTCACCTAAGTCTGCTCTTTGTATTTGTGGTCTTGGCAGCTTGCATGACCCTGGGTCAGGGGCAGGAGTGTTCTAGGTAACACCAGAAGTAGGAAGCTAAAGAATAGTCCCCCCCGCCCCCTTCTCCCTGAGTCGGCAAATAATTGTCACATCGACCTGGTGCTATGCTGTCATGGCACCGGGGAGATCAGTTCCCCGGAGCAGGTGGTAGACATTAGTAGGGGCGTTGCCTGCTCTGTTTTGGGGTGAATAACAGTCTTCATTCCTGCCGTGGCTGAGTGTCCACCAGGGCCTCCCACTTACTTGCTTTATCTGCCTGTGGCCCCGTACAGAGGAGCCCAGTGTGTCTGTTAGCAGGGAAGTCTACAAAGGATGCTTTTCAGTCCTGCCCAAGTTCATGAGCCAAGAAAAAGAATGAGTTCTGCTCTAATATAAGCAGATTGTCTATTCGTTCTGCATTTTACTCTCTCAGGTGGCAACTCTACCAGCCCCTTTCATCGTGTGTAACATTCTGTCGCTCTAACTGCTGACTCTGTCGTTGGCCGCATTTGTTAATTCACAGGTGGGCGGGGGGGTCACCTGTCTGACTCACCATGGAGCCCCGCGCCGGCCCCGCTTACCGAAAGCATCACCTCTGATCCAGCAGCTTGAATCTTTGATAACCTCCCTCCCCCAGCACTGCAGGCCTCGCTCGCTTGCTTCTCCGTGCAGCCCTTAGGGTTTCGGGGAAGGAACGAGAAAGCTGCCGTCACAGACCACAGGCTCCGCCTTTCAGGCCCTGGTCGGTCTCTGAGATTATAAGGACCCTTGAGTTGTATCCTATCTCATAGAAGAGACGGTGAGTTGGAGACTCACCTTCTCGTTTGGTTCTGAATGGCAGACGAACTTGTAAGGGGACAGAGCTTTTATACCATGTATAGGTCAACCCCCCACTTTTGGTTTATTTTTATAAATTCTTCCTTTGATTCTTCTGTCATCCTCTGGGGATAGATTTTTTTATTTGTTTATTTCTTCTGTTTTGTGTGAAGCATCATTTGCTGACTTAACATGATGGTGAGGGAGGGAGGGGTTTGAGGGCAAGAGAAAGTCTTTAGTGTAAACCATCAGCTATGATGCTCAAGTCCATTATGCCATCTTACTATTAAGTTTGGTAGCCCACAGTTCTTGCACAGAAAGGAACCAAAGGTGGAGTGTGCTGTCGGCAGGTGGCTTCAGGAATTTGGCCTTGACCGATAACATTGAATGCATGATGACCCTTTGATTGGACGGTTCTATGCCCCGAGGCTCCACCCCTAACTGTCTGGTACTATGCTCCTTCCTTGTGTACATTTCTCTGAAGGGTGATACTATATGTTTGTATGAGAAGGCCCATAACCAATAAGATGACTGCATATTCCTAACTAGGCATAGTAAGGAAAATGCACACTTTGTTTTTACTTTTCAAAGTTTCATTCTAAAAGTAGTTAAGATGAAATTTATATGAAAGCATTTTTATCACAAAATAAAAGCAGTTACGTGTCAAACTCAATGGCGTGGTGGGTTTCATTTCCCTTTGCTTCATCCTGGTCCCATGGTGACGACCTCGTGCCCTCCTTCCTCTTCGAGAGAAATCCTTCGCTTTCCATTCTGGGCCCCACAGGGAGGGCCGGGCACGGGGCTTCCTTTCGTCTCTCTCCAGGCAGATCCGAAATCAGTGCTTTTGAGGAAGGCGCTTCTGTCACATAGGAAGCATCGCGAGACTGAGTCCCTTTGCACCAGCTGGTGACAGACAGTGGCTCAGGACACAGCGCCTTCCAGTGGAAATGGAGGTGTTTGCCAAAGGCAGAGCTGCGGGTTAGGATATACTGAGTAATGCTGGTGGGGCTGGGACCCAGACCGCCAGTGTGCAGTATTATTCCTCAGGTTGTATATAGAACTTAATCTATACGGTTACAAAATAGTATTTTGCATATAAGTATGTTACCAGGTTTATTCATTTACTTGCAGGGTCAGTGAAGTGAATGTTTGGACACAGATATTTGACATGGGTGATATCTGTGGCATTCGCCGCCTCCTATCAATTTCCATAGCATATTTGCCGAAATAACGTTTTAACACAACTGGAGTGGGGGAAACGAGTTAAGTCGGCTCGCGTGAATTGCGCGTACTCCGCGGGAGCCGTCTTTAACTCGGTTCATATAGATTTGCGGTGGAGTGCGGGAAACGTGTAAACTCGGGCCGGTTGTAACTGCGTATTACCAAATATTTGTTTGTAATCCACCCTTTTGGTGGATGGAACAAAACCAAAAGACAGAGCCATCTTATATTTTGGCGGGAAATTCACCCCACACCGGAGTGTTAACACAACTGGCAGCACATAATGGTTATCCTGGGAGGGTTATGGTTTTATATAAACATGTATAATACATGTGGGGAGCTTCATGTTGGATTTTGTAACGGTGTGGGAAGAAAATGCTTTTGCGCGCTGAGGAACGCCTCGCCCGAGTCTTGGCCTCTCAGAGCTGGGGTTCCTCTTCAGACTTTGGGAACTCAGACTTGCTCCATGGAAAGAAACCTGCTCCGGGGGACTTGGCCCGCTCTCCACCTTCCTCCTCCCCCTTCCACTTCCAGCCTGAACCCCCAGCCCTCGATGGGGCGGGGAGAATCCAGGGCCCTCCCAGCCCTGAGATCCAAGGAAGGAGGGCAGGCTGGAGGCCACGGCTGTCAAGTCACATAGCTGGGATGGTAGACTTGGACGCCAGGACCTGGTCACGCAGTCATGCAGCTACCAAGCCTCCCAGCCCAAGGAGAGGCGCTGAGTTCCTCTTCAGAACGTGATGGTGATCAAGACCAACTTACCCCTGGGCGATGGGCAAAGGGGGAAGGAACTGCGAGCCTGTCGCTGCCTCTGCCTCTGTGACTGCTCCCCTGCGGGTGGCTGTGAGTATGGCCGGGTCTTCACCTCCCCTGCAGGACAGTCTTTTAAAAATAAAATAGGAATCAAATCCTTGCAAAGGCCCTGAAGAGAGAGGGTGTATGTGGTGTGTGCGCGTGGGAGGCAGAGGGATGGGATACAGAGCAGGTATTCAACTTTTCCTCCTTTTGACTTGGAGCTTAGCAAGACACATTTATTAATTTTTTGAAATATAGTTTTATTGATTTCAGAGAGGCAGGGAGAAGGAGAGAGAGAGAGAAACACCAATGATGAGAGAGAATCATTGATCGGCTGCCTCCTGCGCTCCCCACACTGGGGATCCAGCCCACAACCTGGGCATGTGCCCTGACCAGAAATCGAACCATGACCTCCTGGTTCAGAGGTTGATGCTCAACCACAGAGCAACACCGGCCGGGCAGCAAGACACATTTAAAACATTTGCACCAGTCAAGACCCAACTGAAAAGTGTGGGCAAACTCAAATTAGGATAATACCAGAAGGGCTCATTTACAATAGGACTGGTTATGAGGTGTGTATGTGAGGGGGAGGTGAACCTTAGTGGGCAGTGCAGAAAGTCCTGGCTAGCATCAGCAGAGGGATGACCACTTCGGTCCAAAGGGAGGAAGGCTGGGAGAGGTCACTGAACCTGGAAGGTATCTCAGGAAGAGCCGTGACTTCTATCGAGGAACACAATGAGCCATGGCCTCACCCTCACCCCACGACCCCACCCCCAGCAAGGAAGCCAGGGAATAATACCCTGACCTCATTCCCCACCCCACCTCCAGCCTGGACTTCCTATTTGCTGAATCCAAGAGGAAGTCTGAAAATGAAGGAACCTGTTGGATTTGACCCATTGATACAGTCAGCTTCCTGGGGGCAGAGCTTGGGAGAGAAAGGAAGAGAGTGGATCTGACGGTGCAAACATATTATCTAAAACATTCTCCCTCCATCTGTGACATTTCTAAGGAACTTCTACCCTTTGAGACAGCATGGAGGGACCTGGAGAGTATCATGCTAAGTGAAATAAGTCAGTCAGAGAAAGACAAGTATCACGTGATCTCACTCACATGTGGAATCAAACGAACAAAATAAACTGATGAACGAAGTGGATTCAGAGACATGGAAGCATGGAACAGAGGGTGGAATCTCAGAGGGAAGGTGGGGGAGGGTGGGTGGGTGGGAGGTAATCAACCAAAGACCTTGTAGGCATATATGCATAACCCATGGACACAGACAATAGGGTGGTGAAGGCTGGGGGGCAAGGGCAGGCTGGAGGGGGGCCAATGGGGGGGGGGAGGCGACATATGTAATACTTTCAACAATAAAGATTTTAAAAAAAGAAACTTCTACTGACAGCCTTCCTTTGATGTGTCAAGGTGGGGAATGCAAAATAAAAGCAATGATGTATTGATAATCTGATTTAACGTCTTTTCCTGATCTACTTACTAGTGTGCTTCTTCACTACTTTGGCTTTGAGCACCCAAACTGGAGAGAATCAAAAGCAGCAGGATGGATGAATTATGGTACCTTCATTCAATGGAGTGCAACACAGAAATGAAAAAAAAAAAAAAAAGCAACGATATGAGGAATCGTCATTGGCATAATATTGAGCAAAGGAAGCCAGACACCAAAGAAGACACCCTGAGTGATTCCATTATCTAGTTCAGGAAAAACAAACCAATGGTAAGTAGAGATCTGAAGAGTGGGTGCTTTTTGTGGGAGAGGCTTCTTGACTGAAAAGAGGGTAAGAAGATCTTTCTGAAGACTTGTGCATTTTACTATTGTAGGTTATCTATACTAATAAAAGGGTAATATGCTAATTAGACCGGGAGACCTTCCAGACATCCTTCCAGACAAAGCCATGGTGGTGGGGCTAAGGCAGAAGCAGTTAGGGGCGATCAGGCCAGGAGGGAAGGGCAGTTGGGGGCAAGAAGGCCAGCAGGGGGGGCAGTTGGGGGCGAGCAAGCTGGTAGGCAGAGTGGTTTAGGGGCGATCAAGCAGGCAGGCAGGTGAGTAGTTAGGAGCCAGCAGTCCCGGATTGCGAGAGGGATGTCCCAGATTGGAGAGGGTGCAGGCCGGGCTGAGGGACAACCCCCTCCCATGCACAAATTTCATGCACCAGGCCACTAGTCCTATATAATAAAAGGCTAATATGCAAATTGACCGAACATGGAATGACTGGTTGCAATGATGTGCATTGACCACCAGGGGGCAGACGCTCAATGCAAGAGCTGCCCCCCTGGTGGTCATTGCACTCCGGAAGCCAGGCTCATGGCTGGCGAGCACAGTGGTGGTGATGGGAACCTCTCCCACCTTCACGATAGCACTAAGGATGTCCAACAGCTGGCTTAGGCCCGCCCCCTCCTCCCCCCGGGCTCCCGGACTACAAGAGGGCGCAGGCCGAGCTGAGGGACCCCTTCTCCCCCTGAGTGCATGAATTTCATGCACTGGGCCTCTAAAATATATCTGCAATATCTGACAAATGCCTAAACACCTAATATTATGAAAATAACATGTAGTTGCCTGGCTAGTGTAGCTATGTGGTTGAGCATCAACCTATGAACCAGGAGGTCACAGTTCAATTCCAAATTGGCACATGCCTGGCTTGTGGGCTCAATCCCCAGCAAGGGGAGTGCAGGAGGCAGCCAATCAATGATTCTCTCTCATCATTGATGTTTCTTATCTTTCCCTCTCTCTTCCTCTCTGAAATAAAAATATATTTTTAAAATAAGAATAAATAAAAATAAAGAGGCCCTAGCTGATTTGGCTCAATGGGTTGAGTGTCGGCTTGCAGACTGAATGGTCCCAGCTTTGATTCTGGTCAAGGGCACATGCTAAGGTTGGGGGCTCAATCCCCAGTAGGGGATGTGCAGGAGGCAGCCAATCAATGATTCTCTCTCATCGTTAATGTTTCTATCTCTCCCTCTCCCTTCCTCTCTGAAATCAACAAAAATATATTTTTTAAATAAAATAAAAATAAAGAGGACAAGATAAACTTTTTAAAATACAGACTCTTTCCCATTAGTGATTAGTTGAATCAAACCAGATGGTGAAGGAAATCATATGCATTCTGGCTCTGGGGTACAGAAGTCATCTCTTGATGTCAGGTGAGAAAAACGGGGTTGTTGAGAGGGTATGTATGGGGCAGTCAACACCATAGTCAGACAATAGGTGGAGCCTCAGGATGGTGATTTGCTACACCATGGGGGCTGCAATATTACACAAAGACACTAGAGGGAGCACATGAGTAGAAACTGGCAAACTCCTTCAAATTATGCACACAACCAGAGAGAGAGAGAGAGGGAACTTGAGAGATAATCCGGAAACTCTAGTCCGGCGTGTGGCGAAAGTCCACTCTTTATGAAACCAGACAGTAGTCTGGGAGGCTTGGCTTATTCTCAGAAGCCAAAATCCCAAACATTACACCAAAGACAAAAAAACACAAGACAAACAGGCAACCACAACATGTTTGGATGAACCAATTACATCTCGAAACCATGCCCAAAGAAATGAAGATATATAACTTAAAAAGAAGGAATTCAAAATTACTTTCATAATGATATTCAATGAGTTAAAAGACAGAACAGGTAGCTAAAAAATTTCAAGAAAATGTG